ATCATGTCCTTCTCTGGTTGGCTGCATTCCTTTCCCGCATACCATTGGATCGCAGAGAGACACAGGATTGGCTGAGGCCAGGTGGTCCAAGATGTCTGCGCCCTAATCCGACGCCACACCTCAACACAGCCACACCACAGCACTACAACGCTACACATGACTACTTTTTTAACTGCTTGTCTCTCTCGCTTGCAGCAGCATCAGTGCTTCCAAGCACAATACATCACGAGGGTATGCTCTTAACCTTTTTTAATGGTACAGACTCTTACTTACCTAAGACGCAAATACCCAATAGTTCAACCGCAGTACTTATCGATTAACGGTGGAACACAAGAACTGACTGTCGAACAGCAAATCTATGTGGAGGGGGAGAAGGATGATGAAAAGCCAATTATAGAAGTTTTGCTAACTGAAAACGTTTCTGGTTAGTTGTGTATTGGACCTTGTAAGAATCCGTCTCCTCCGACGCTTACGTAAGATATGGTCTTATCCTTTAGGCTTGGGAGGCAAAGGTTCTCTTGTGAAAATCCATCGAAATAGATTCTGGAATAATTTGTACCTTCGTGGACTTGCCGTACTTCCTACTGTGGATTGTGTTAATGAATTGCAGTCAGAAGTAAGCATTTTTCTCTTCTGTTACTTACCACCGGCCTAGACTTTGAGATTTATGCGTTATTTTAGAATGTCAATGTCCTGTGTGGTCATTCCTACGAAGTACAACAGCGCCTCCTTAATATGACTTTGTATATCCCAATGAATCCTTTCCTGTCATGGACGTTAACACCCAAGCATGTGAAAGTGGCTTTCCGTCGAATTGTAAGTGAGGACTTCCACCGTTTTGTTCCCCTAAACAATGATGGTCAATATTTGGTCTGAGTGTTTTGATGTTCTCTGGCTTATCGGCAAATAGTCTAATTCATTTGACAACAGTATATGGCAGATTTGCATCGAACCGTAAATAGCTTATTAAACACTAGTTTTATTCTAAACCATTTGGTTTTAGCAATTTTTTTCTTTTTTTGCTCGTCTTAGGGAGTGGTGGTCGAAGAAGAGGATATCACAGTGCCTGAGAAGCCAGTGACCACGTCCACGTCGGAGGAATTCATTGTCAATGTTAATGTAAATTCCACTTTTTTATTAGAAATTGGTGGTCGCGAGTATTTTCAGACCTAATTGTGAATACGAGTACGGATTCACGCATTATCAAGTCTAAAAAATTAAAACCAAAATCGATTTACCACACTGTTTCAGTACCACGCAAGTTCCGTAACCTTGTTAGTGTGGAAATCCCTTGAGCTCTGGTTTATCTAGACGCCAAAATCTTAGAGTACTTGTCCCATTTTTAAGATTAGTGACTAACAAGTATGCGGGTCTAGCCATTGGCTTTGAAGTGTTGTTAGGTTTGTTGATTGCTACTTCAAAGTCACATCAGCTAATTTTCAAGGGCGAACCTGTAACATCTGATATTTTACGGTCAGATTGTTTTGCGTTTATTGAAGGTGTGGTTGGGACTGACCCACTTTGTATACAGCCGTTTGGACTTCAGTGGTACAGAAGTATAATAAACATATCGTGAAATTACTCTTTGCGTTAGATTGCGAATGTCGCTTCCGTTCCCGTGAAATCGAGAATTTTCCTTTACCAACGATTGGATGCGAAAACCACGACGAAGCCACCTGCAAACACATTCCGCAAAATACACCTCGACGATTGGACGTCCGACTTTTCAGAAAACGAGCTTCAGTTGTTGCCTGGCCACACAAGTAAACCCTATCGTTGTTGACCTGATGTACATTCCCCCTGATCTGGATTAACTCTTTTTTATGCCTGAAAATAAATTGTGGTTTTACCTGCGTTGTTGGTCTGAAAAAGTGCATAAAATGGGTTGCCTGCGCTTATGTGCTGTTCGACAGTCCGAGCACGCGGACTAGGCTGTTTTTTACTCAAAAGCCCCTAGAGCCCTTTGGTCCTCTTGTTCACATGAACATATCATTTAATAAGTAACGAGCTGAAATGATGCACTTATCAGTTCTTTATTGCACGAATTTTTATTTGACGCCGGAAGTGCAATTCCAGTTAGCCTAGAAGATCTAATCGTAAATGATATTAGGTTGTCGTTCTTTATAAAATAAACCTGAAATCCTCTTTGGTTCATGTCAAGTTTTCCTCCTATCGTTAGTAAATTTTCTTCAAATAGGATCTGATTTGGTGTTATGCGCCACTTTTTGAGTACTTCGGGAGGAGCGTCCCATTTAATGAAGGTAGAGGCGCAGACGCGTTTGTGTGCTATAGGTGTGTCTCAGGAGTGCGGGCTCCGGCCGAGTTTGAATAATTTTCTTTAGCTTGAGTAATTCGGTTGTGAGCTAGTCAGGACTTAGAACCATTCGCAGCAGGAATTAACCAGTTCCCTTCCAGTCGACCAATAGTCATGGTTATTTTCTTAATTCAGTTTCCTTAAACATTGTTGGATCACATCATGGCTATCATCGATGCCTTGGTACTTTGGATTTGATTGGCTACATGGCACTTTGCTGTCAGTTTGAGCGGAAGTACTTTGTGAGTGTGGACATTGATTTTTCGCGTACCACCAGCATCCATCCCAGCCGTCATTTTAGTGTTCCAAGCATTGCTCCTAACCCCTTTGTTCATGATTTCTGCTGAATTTGAAATCTTGGTTTTGTTCTACTACCATTGTTGTAACCGTACCCACATTCGCGTGTTCGCATTGTGTGAAACACCATGTACTAGTGTACTTTTACTACGTGGCGCCGGATAGCGATAGCCAAGGGCGATCTCCAGATTTTACGTTCCAGACACTGTAAATTTATCTAATCTTGTGTAAATTTTGATACTTTTGGAATTTTCAGGTGGTTTTACAAAACTTTTCTCGTGCTTCATCAAATGAAGCGAAAGCGCGTTTGAAGACCCTTTTTTCTATTCAACGAGTGAATGGATGGACCAAACAGTGCAAGGTATGTTTTAAATACTTGCAAACTTACGCCGGTTGGTGTTAACACACTGGATAAAGCTGTCAACGCTAATGGCTTTTCTAGCAGTGATTTACGGACGCGTATTTGAAGCGATGTTGCCGAATCGCGTATCAAGAATCGGAGGTGATTTTGTATCACATTCTTCCGTAGTGTTTGAAGCTGTTCCCAGCCTTGTTGAAGGCCCCGGGTGTGGTGTTGATCCATGCCATGAAGAAACCCAGGAAATTTAAGAAGATCGGAGATGGCAGGATCACGACCGCTTACCCAATAGCTCAATCTAGTTCTGATTTTTTATATCGCGTCACTGCCTACAAAGTGTGACTAGGGATGGGTTGCTGAAATGTTTAATGTACAATTGACTGAATTACCAGATAAGTGGCGCTAGTGACGGGGGGGCACGTGCACAGAGATGACGGATCCGCTTTAGTGTGGGACGACCATGTTAATGCCTGGAGTAGTTTAGGAACAATCATTCCCAGCACTCAGACGACGAAGGTGCCGCAATTAGGCCCTCAAACCGTGTCTCAAGTTGAACAGCATTGGCTTCCTGGGAAGACCGGTATATCTCATGCTATTAGATATGGTCTATTAAGCATATTTCGTTGATTGACCGTTCGGACTTGACGCAAAGTTGGCTTATTGGCAGAGCGTTTAGTAAAAATATTATTTAGCTCGGGTTTCTGTGCTCAACTGACACCTGCACGCTGGAGACTTCTTGTGCTATTTCCATATTTGACGTGATTGACCAACTGAGCTTTTCGATGTCTCTAAAAGGTTGAGCTCTGGTTTCGCAGCAAACCGGTTGCTGTAGAATAACCTGAGGCAGTCAACTCCTGGCCTGGTATATCTGACCAGCACCACCATTAACCCTCCATTACAACTTCGAATTCGGAGTTCTGCGGTTTCGTTGATAGTGCCTTCAGTCTGAGCTTTATTCATGTTGTGCAGAACTTCTCAATTATGTTCACCGTATATTGTGGCCTCCTCGAAATTGCAAACCCGATGGTTTTATTGCTGGGAAATGCAAATTTGTGTTGAAGTTCGTCGAGACAATACACGTAGCCAATGCTACGTGATCATTGCTCTTGCCTGCCAAAGTACACCATAGTTGAGTGGGGATTCGTCCTTAAATTTGATCGATTTGAAACTAGGGGCTTTGCAGTGTAACTTGTAATGATTTGTCTGTTCTACGTGAAATTCTGAGATAATGGAACAGATTCTCTCGACGCTCTCTTGTGCAGCATGCGCTGAGGTCATTGCTATATCCATTGGCACCTCTTGCCTTGCGCTGTTCCCTGCTCGGTATCATAGGTTTTACGTAATTTTGCATAGCTGTTCGATTCATAAAGTAACATATTCTTTACATTAATTTTTCGCATTTACACAATCGATGTACCAGTGGTGGTTGTTGTACCCATGATTCCCCCCGCTTGACACATGGAATAGTGTACGTTTGCCTGCAAATTTGGTGAGTGACGCCTGATTAGTAATCTACTCCGATTTGTATCTAAACCTGAGATATGGGTAGAAGACTTGCTCAGCACCTACCCAAGCAATTGGTTCGGACAGTGGCCGCTGTCCTCTTGGGTGTATTTGCATGCTCTATACCATGTTTTACTCCAGAACTAAAGTCGGAAATAACACTTATGCCTCAACCCGATGTCTAAAATAGAATGACGCAAATATTTTAGATTAATTGATACACTGATAAGTCGCATTGTCATGACTGACCTAACAGGAAGCCTCTTCACACAATAGTGGAGTCTTTTTCTGCACTTTTTTCAGCACTGAATGCAAGGTATTTCTTTCATACAGCTACACAACTTGCATTCTAGCACTGATGTCACGACGATGCCAAAGACTATCAAGACGATTAGCAACGGTTTATCATAGGCAGAGGATAGAATTTCTCCCGTGACAACCTTTTGATATGACCATTTTAAATAACTTTTAAATAAAGTTATATTTTACGTAACAGTTTGTAATCTGAGGGCGTTGGTGTCGTTAAAATGTTTCTATTGTGTCTATTGTCGCCAATTATAGTGCGGTTTCGGTGGCAAAGTCAGTACATTCTCAAGCTAAATTGACACTAGTGATTTAAAAGCGACCTGCTTGTAAAATACACGTTATGACAGGCTTGGATTGTGTTATTATTTGAGCGGACAAATATACCACAAATTTTTACACAGCATCACCATGCCTTTTTGCTTCTCTTGTTCACGCATATAAAATAATCACAAATTTGATGTCAAAAATTATCAAATAGCCAGTTTTTGTTTCTAGTCTAATCTGACTGCTTTTAGAAAGTTACCCTAACCCAGACAAATCAAAATGCCCTCGGTCATTTCGACAAGTACTACACCCACTTACTCGGTGCGGCCTCCTGGAGTGGTATTCGGGCAGCTCTCCTCGCTCCGGCTGCCAAAGTTGCCGTTTTAAATTCCATCAATCCATCTATGCCTGAGCTCATTAAAGAACTTCTCTCAAAGCAGTACTTTGACCTTTTCGACGAGTTGAGTAAAGGCGATGTTCTGCCCGAATCGGTTTTGCCACAGAACCCTGACAATGTCGAACCCCCTCCTGATCAACATTTCCTCGTAAGACATGACACTCCGCCAGGTCAATTTTCTGAATTCGTGCCCCCCACTGAATTCATCAGCGAAAAAACGGTCTACACCCGGGAGTCGGACCGTGGCTTCGTTGTTCGTGCCAGATCTGATTTTTTTGAACCTGTGGATCTTCCTGTTGTGAACGAGGAGTCCTGTCTTATCGAATCGTTTCGAAATTTGAGGTGCTTCGCACTGCCCCTTGGGACTTTTAGCGCTCTTCAAAGGCCAAAATTCTCGGCTCAGTGTTTCGGCAAGTTCATTGAAATTTAGCCAAAACGTCCTATTTGTCTATTTTAATGGCATTACATAGAACCCCGTAAATACCCTCACATTCCTCTGCTGCTAGGCTGGAAAACATTAGTCACTTTACCCGTTTATTCATGTATCTAGTGCCAAAAACGTTAGCCACCTGGGACTACGGGCAATAGTCCGTACTTTGCCGTGTTTTTCTGGCATATTTACGTGTGAAATGACGGACCATGCTCGTTTGAAAATATCAGTCTTTGTTTTTCTCTGTTAAGCTGCAACGGAGATAACTGTTCTTCAATTACTTCTAAAATCACACGTAGACTCGGTTTTGGTAATTTCTACTCACACATGAAGGCGAATGCGACCACTTTCAACTTCATCATCCTTACAACTACAAACTTGTACAATATATACCTTTTGTGCACTCATCCTTCGGTAAAAAATTGACTCGTGCTCTTTGCAAGGACTAGCCTTTCTAATATTACGTTGTTTCGTTTTACAGCCTTTACTTTAAGCTCAAGAAGGTTATTATTTCCCTTTTACCACTAATCTGCACTTTGCCACCGTTTTTACTGCTCTGTTGCCCTCTGGTCGGTGAATTTGCTAGTTTACCTTGCAGATTTTTATCCCTTGGATTTGGGATCGGTCCTCGCGGTTCTCGCTCTGGATATTCAGCCGGGCACGCGGATGCTGGACTTGTGTTCTGCGCCTGGTGGCAAGGCGGTAGCGGCCCTACAAACACTTAACCTTGGTAGGTCTTACAGCGGAACCATAGAAGCCAGGTTAATGTGATAAATCGGGGATTAAGTCGGATTTGCGAAGGCGTGTAGACTCAACCTTTCGAGGGTCTGTCTACTGTGTGGCTATCCCACATAGTATGCCAAATAGCAATTATTTCACATGCGTCGTCGTGGCAGACATATCTGCATGTGACGGACCTTAGTTTGATCGCGTTTAAAACTATACGCCCCTTTCGTACCACTATAGCTAACATGTCTGGGCACCATATACAGGGTTTGAGATGAGTCATCAGGCCGTCCTGGACTTTTTGTTTTTTTTTTAAAAAAATAAAATACCAAAATACGTTTATTTGGTCGCAGCAACTTGGTGCACAACAACTCTCACGGCGATTCGAGATATGACCCTCTGCTTTTGAATTTATTTGCAGCAAAATACTGGAGCTTTTTAGGCTTTTTTCTACTGATTTAAAAGTTCTTATTTCCAGATTTTTACAAAGCAAAGACTGCCTTCAATCGCAATTTTTGATATCAAACCCTCTTGTTTCTATATGGAAAACTGGCGCCAAGTCTGGTGTTAGATGCAACTGATGTGTCGAGCATTATTGTAGAGTCACTCACGTTTGCCCTCGCATCTTTTTTAACTCAATCACGGGATTGATGTTAGTTTGCAGTGTCCATTTAGTGTTCAGTGTCGTCCCCACTGCTTGTCGTTTTGGTCTACTGAAGGCTTTCTATGCAACTCCAACATTGGAAGCCACCTCAATGGCCCCTATTACTTCGATGTCCATAGAGTCAAAGTTCAGAGCCATGTAGTTAATGACAATGGGTGTCTTGTTTTGGCCAAACCACAGCAAGTTTTGTGAGCTCTTTTCCTCGAAATTCTCCTCCAGCTCACTGTTAGCCAATCGGATGTCATAAACCTTGTTCGACCCTCAGTGAAATCTGTGGACCTCCCTTTTGCAGAATACTTGGTTTGCACTGACGTTTCGTCGTCGCGTGTGGAGCGTCTGAAGAATGTTCTCAACACTTTCGGCCCAGGTGTGGGCACTGGTCGTCCGAGCTTTCCTGACGTCGAAGTCATGATGACTCATTCCATTCGTCGACGCCTGCCAACCAGTGGCCCCGAAAAGGGTACTTTGTTCAATCGGGTGTTGGTTGATGTTCCTTGCTCAACTGACCGAACTGCTCTCACATCCGATAAGGGCAGCTACTTTTCGAAAGGCAAAGGCAATTCAAGAATAAATTTGCCTGTGACGCAAAAGAGGCTATTACAGTAAGTATCAGGTTTTGTTTCAAAACTAATTCGTTTAGACACCAAACTTCTTACATTTGTGAACCTGTGTAAGACTTTACTCGTTTACGGTAAAAGTTTGACCGATGATAATCATTCCATTGTTGAGTTTGTTTGACTGTTATTGATTTTCAAAGAAAATTTATGAGTAAGTTTGGTAAATGTCATATTCGCACCACCAAAAATATTGGTGAGTGCACTCAATTCTCAAAATCCTTTCAGATTAAACGATGACGAAATGCTCGGATTACTGCCAAAAGCGGAAGCCTCAATGTCATTCGATTAAAGCTTTGTAATTTAGCCAAAATGGGAAAATTACTATCCTTTTTGTCAAGCCGCAGCGGCCTGAAAGAGACTTTAACCACAGACACCAATTTAATCATTTCAATTTTATTAAAGCATCAGGTTTCTCAGCGTTACGTTTTCGATTGAAGCAGCAGCAATGAACCCGTGTAAAGCCAACATGACGTTAACATTTGGCACAATTTAATCAGTTTTCCCTAAAAACAATCACTTAAACTCACGCATTTTCTCAGAATCTGTGCCTACCTAAATTCGAGGCCGATAGTCACCCGTAGTTACAACACGCAACGTCCATTAAACAAAATTCGGAATCTGTGGTCGCCATCTCAAAATGTCGGCGAATTAGAACATCGCATCAGGAGAATAAGTGTTATCTAGCGCTTTGTATATGTAAGACTGGTGGGTTTTAGAAAGCTTTGACATAAATAAAATTGGATGCGGCTGTAGGCATGAGCCAAGTACTCTCAAGCTCTGACAAGCAAACCTTTTGACGCTTTCTACAGTGATTTACAGGTACAACCGTTCCCAGTGTGTGGCGTCCTGAGCAACTTGTCAATTTACTGGTAACCTTTGCTAAAAGTTTAGTAGATCACTTCGATAGGGATGAGGCAAGTAGCCCGTCATACGATACCCATCAGTTGTTTGTTGTGTTATCGGTTACAATCTTGTATGGGTTGGTAAGCTTATATGGGTATCCGCAATCTGTAAGCCATCTCGGAAAATTAGGCTCACGTTTGGGATCTTCGTTTTTAAGCAGCAATGCAAGGAGCAGTTCAATCTCGTCAAAATTACCCCGAATCTCGCAACTAAGCAGGGTTGGATGTCCGATAGTTTCCTTCGGCGGCGGAGTAACACTGGAGACCTCACTGGACGAAACCAGTCCACGAATGTAGCACCAAGCAGGTCTGCCACAAAAAATCGTTGCATAAACCAAACGGTTCAGTTCGCGTCTTGTAGTAGACAGCAATATGTCCTTACCTCGTGCGTATTTAGGTTTTGAACTTCAAATGCAGAAATATAATCGTGGGTTAGTGGTGATCTGTCAATTCGCAAATCAAGTGTGATTTTGAGCTACACAAAACCACTCTAAATTTCCTTACTGTGTGAATACAACGGGGGATGATGACTTGTCTTCCAATTTACTACTATTTAATTAATTTTTGAAAGTTAAAAAATAAGATGTTTTTATGTAGATGTGAATGATGTAAATGGCTTCCACTTAGTTGTAGCGTACGAATTGGACTTTACTAAGTGATAAGGACTATCAACAAATTGCAGAAACAAAGACGACCAAATATCGAGACAAATGCGTTTTGATTTTTTAGACAGGCAATGGCCGCCTGCCAGGTTGGTGGTTACGTTGTCTATTCAACCTGTACTCTCTCAACGGCACAGAACCAGGCTGTTGTCGAGTCGTGTCTGACCAGCCCAGAGAAAAATGCTGAGTTTGCCATTGTGGATCCCACACACCTACTCAATCTCTGCAACTCAAAACTAGCCCCTATCTCAGGCATCAAGGTAGCACCGGCTTATTCAACCGCAGCCTCACCGATCGGCGTTCTGGTTCTTCCCTGTCTGGCCGCCAATTATGGACCCACTTTTATTTGTAAATTAAAACGAGTAGCATAAAGTTCTTATACTAAAAAGGTTGTTTTCCAACAGTGTGGCCTCGGTTGAAAATGCGGAACGTCACACCTAATATTAATAATGTACGAACTTGGAAGTCATAAGCATTACGATGGCGCATGTCGAACCCACTCCTAACTCCTCATACAGCGATTCTTGTACACTTTAATGCACTTGGAAAATGTAATTGCACTACTATAAACTCTAAATGTTATGAACATCTTCACCTAAGTTTGCACGCTCTTTTTTATTATTCAGAATCCTAAAATCCGCCTGATCATTTGACTTCGTTAAACAATACGAGTATTGTCCTCCATGTACTTAGGGCCATTTCGTGAGCCTACCTTTTCTTGTAGATACACACTTGTAATCCACCAAGGCGCCATTTTTGCTAAACTTCCATTAGTGAAATGCTGCTGGTCAACGCACAAAATCACAAGTGGAGTGAAGCACAATTTCATGATTCAATTACAGCTTGCTAACATCACTCGAATAACATAGCCTCGCTGACCAAAAATCGCTCGCGATTACATGGCCCGCACTTCAAGAGGTGAGCCAAACGTTTTTCAGAGCCTTGAACTTCCATTACATGTTCAGAGAGAGAGAGAGGGAGAAAAGAAAATAAAATTGGTATGAATAGACGAACAGGCGTTTTTGAGTAGCAAGAGGCGCTTAACAACCTCATCTTAATCAAGAATGAGTGTAATCACGTGGCATTCCCGGCTATAAATATACATTCCCTTAGACTTCGACAACGAATTCGGGGTTGACAAAAGAAAAGCCGGAGAATTCAGTCTGATCGAGGTTCATAATGAAGAGTTTATCCGTTGGTGTCAACCGCGGTTGCTCCTTGGTGAATTCCGCGTCGAAGTTAGATATGTCTCGATGACTGCTCTGCAAATCAAAAAATGGAAAATCTCACAAGCAAAGTAAAGTGATCGGCATCTTGAGAGTTCAATTCTTTCGTGGCTGACTACCACCGACCATAGCGATTTGATAATGTGTTTGAGAGAAACGGACCAAACATGGCAGTGATGGCCTTGTCCCTGCCATTGTCATAGAATATCTTTGATAATCCATAGGCTTGCGTTACTTAAATAAATATCCGCAAAATAAACTTTAAGATACCCATTCAATCTTTGGAGAGCAAGACAATCCGCTCTAAATAATCAGGTATTGTTGTTCAGTTTGTTGTTTCCGACTCAATTTCTGCTTAACTTTTAAGTCAATTGGACTGGGACTGATTTAGCGACACTGTATGCAGTCCTCCTCAAGTAATTCTCATGTCCTTAATATCTGACAGTTTCCGTAGTCCATTAATACAATTGAATGCTATTTCCAAAACTTTAAACATTAAATCCGGCAATAGATGCGGGCCAGTGCGATTCACTCTACATCGTTCCTTTCCAAGACTGAAACGCAAAAGCGTCCGACTTAGGCTACATTTACAAACCTTGTTACGCGCGGTTTTAAATTTTTTTTGAGCCATTTATTTAATGACAGGCGTTTCGACCCCACAATAACATTATTCAGTGTGAGACAAAGGTGCTTGAACTTACAACTTTTGGTTTAAAAGGTGGTTGGACCTCCCTGTTTTCAATTTTTCGCCAATCTATGTGTCGGAAGAAAGGGTGTTCGCATATATTCTGTTCACCGTTCGGTCCGCTACCTAATCGGTGTTTTGGATCCTGCGTCAGAAACTGAACAGAAAAGAAATGCATTAGTTGTGCCATCAAGAGCAGCTGATTACATTTTAAGTACTGAATGAAAATACGATCGAGCGATGAAAAAAGCCCCAGTGTCATTCTGCCCACTCAATGCTAGTTCAATTAGGTTCGCGTATGGTATACTGTATGAGATGAAAATTTGCTCTCCCTTAGGTTCTACCGTTGCCTGCTTGGAAGGTGCAGCACAGATATAATAATTATTGGACGCATTGGCTCCTAGCGGCAACCACCAAGAGGTAGGTTGATATCTACCCATAACAAACTAATCACGCAGCGTAGGGAATAAGTCATGCTGGGGAGAGTTAATTGCATGGTTTTTCAAAATTTGACGTTCGGCGTTCAGTGTTAATTTATCATTAGACTAAGCTAGCGCCATCAGATTCCAGGGTCCCGATCAGCTGTGAAAAGAAACACACACGCAATTTCGCAGTCAGCGAACAACTTTTTTTCAGAGCACAAGGAAGTACTTAGTCACGATTGTCGGGATGGTATCACAGTAGCATCGCGATATAACCGATTCTTACAGCTTTGCAGATGAGGCAAGCTTCGCGAGAAATGGATCTTGGGTAGGAAACTTCTCCAATGGCGATATTTCGGAAGAGCTCCTCTTCGTCATCTCCATCAAAAGGAGGCTTGAAAGTAAATAGCAAATTAAAAGAAGCACTTAATTTTGTTTACAAAAATCACACAGTTTGAGTAGATTTCGACACTGAAATCCCTCAACTGTCGAATAATACACTGTTAGTAAGCATCCAACTTTATATGTTTATCGATTTTGACAAATGTTGGGGTTAAAAGAACCCAAAATCTTACGAAATTAAATGCGATTCACAGTCACCAGCAATGGCTGCCGGCGTCATTGCAGCAGAGCCAGACCTCCAGGATGGGTTTTTTTGGGATTAAATTCGCTTGAGAGCCCAAATGTTTTTTCATAGGTTGCCTACCATGCTAATGATATGGTATTCCGGGATTTTACTAGAGCAAAAACCTTGCTTCCCGACTCTTTTACATTATGTAAACAGGCTGCTAATGATTGAAAATGCTTATGTTGAACATATGTGTTAATGTAAATTATGCGAGAGCCATAAAATGTTGATCATAGATTTATATCCATCAGGGAAAAATAAATTACTTCTTATTCGACACCTTTCCGAAAACTCTCTTCTTTTTGGTAAGGCATGTGCTGTGTAAACAAGGCGATCTTCTGGAATATCAAAAGTCGTGTAAGCAAGTGAAGTTGCAGCATGGAAAGTAACCAAATGTTTGGTTAGATTTAACGGATCTTTTTGATATACCTCAAAGCAGATCTGAAAATGCCCATTTTTTCAATCAGTGGGTAATTTTTGAGATGGGATTGTGGTCTCTGAGTCAACTTAACGTCAATTTTGCACAACCGCGACATTCATTTAAGCACTTCGATATCTCGGGAAACCCGACACACTCACAACTTCATTGATATTATCCAGCAACAGCACAGGAAATTTTCTACCGGATAAACGATTTTATGTCTGGACAAAAGGAAGCGGGTCGTTTCAAATCTTACATTTCAGCTGCGTCACATTAAATCTATCTTTATTTGTGAAAAGGTGATAATTGTGTCGAGGTGAAGAGGGGTCAAAGGCATAAAATGGCACCGATGTGTGTGGTAAAACGCATTAAACTGTTTAAATTATCAACCTAAGGTATCTTGGATACCAAAAACATTGAAAATAGCGTACATTTGTCACATATTTGCATAATTTTTGATGGTTCAGTTTAAAGTTACAACTGCCAAAGCTATTAAAAAATAACTCGGTGAGGATATTAAAACATTTAATCAGGAAATATTCCTTTTTTGGTGATTTTAAGTATTCCATATTGAGACCAACCTTGCGTTAGCGCTCAATCCCAGGCAATACGCATTTGGCGAGGTAAAGCAACGCACCACGACAGACCACATTGCTGAATTATTTAATAAGCTCTAACTCGAAGTTTTTTTGCCACCTTCTGTACCCAATCATTCACAGTCAAATTAGGTGGCAATGAATAACAAAATTGAAGTGAGTTTATGAAAATTAGCTTTTAAGTGGTGGGAAGAATCGCCAATATGAAACGCCTTTAGTAACTAAAGACGGCAAGAATTTGGTCCCTCAAACTTACGATCAATAATACGAGAAATCCAAAATACGATTATTTTTTTTGTACCTGAAATTACGTAGTCGAAGTCATTGTGAGCAAGACTTGAATTTGCAGCCAAGAGGATCCGTAACGTATAAGCGCATCATGCCTGTAGTTTGTTGAAAGCCTTACACAATAAGTTTGAATCAATCAGTTCATTGTGTAATTTTTGGTTGTTTGTAAGAAATCCCTTTTCGCAACAAATTTGATAAACTCGCTTTGGCATAAAATTAAATGATTGCTCCCTCTTACTGCTTAATAGCAATAAGTAAAAAGAGCAATATTGATAGAACTTACTCCTAATTTTAAGCTGTCAACAAATTCCGCTTTATTTCGCAAACATTGTGATCTCTATTCATAGACAAGTTAATGCTCAAAAACAGACAAACCAAAACTCAATTGGTTTAATGGTATAGCGGTCTTTAGATATGCCATCAAGCCGTGTTATTGAGCAAATATTTCGCCCCGAGGCAATTCTTTGTGTGAAGATTTGGATCACGATGCACCACAGATATGCCTAACAAGAACTATTTGTAACAGTAACCTGGTTTATGAGAGTTTGGTCCACTAAAGAGGCAGAATCGTATATCATAGAACGTGACGTTAGTTAATCTATTTTTAATACCTTTAGTTAACTTACTTGACCTGCCAGGAATTCATAAAGAAGGACGCCAAATGCCCACCAGTCCACAGCTTTTCCGTAGGGTTTATGACTTATGATCTAAAGCAAAAGGAATTTCAACTAAATAAATTTCAAATTATATATTGATGAAAAGCATAACACTTGAAGTATTCTCAATAACAACCTTTCACAAAGGAACGTGACTGCTAAAAAGGCAGCTTTTTAGAATACCGCCACTTCAGATGGTATTCACAAATATTTTTCATATACGGTGGACTGTATTTTGGATCATCGACTTCGTTAGAGAAATGATCCCAAAATGATCCCAGTCAAGGAGTTGAATCAAACCAAAATCGAATCTTAAACGATGTTGAGTAATGTCTTTGGTAGCATTGAAAAGTCACTTCTGGAGAACTGGCAACTACTCTTTCCACACATGTATCCGTTCAGATCTTCACTTTATTCAGGTGTAAAATATCAAATGTGTTGCGTTTCCGTTGCTCATATTAATACAGAACTCGCGACCAACTCAGTTAAAAAAGAACGCTCAAATATACCTGAAAATAACCGATTTATTGGCCCACTTTATGTTCAAATTCTTTCAATTAGCAAAACGAGAAGTTTGAAAGCAGAGAAATCAAACTTGAAAGCATCAGAGCATCGGGATTCGAAAAATATCAGAAACTACTATTCAGGTAATTTGTAGGCGTATAATTACTTCTAAGCATGTTATTATCCTCGATCAAAAGTTACTGACTACTTTTGTCTATCGTAAAAATTTAGGTTGCACACTTTTAACATGAAAAAATCTTCCGAATTCAGCGGAATTCCGAAGGGTCCAAAGATGTATTAGAAATATGTTTAGTAATAACCCAAGTGAATTCAAGCCCCGTAAAAACTAATGTTAATTTATTATTCAAACTTACACCTTCTTTACCTTGGCTTAACTTTGGTTTCTCTGCTACCAAAGAACGCCATTCTGCTGCCCAGTTGAACGTCAACCTTTAACCACTTGAAATGTGCGACTATGCTAAAAAAAGGCTGCTTAAATTTTAAATGAAGCTTTCTTTCATTCGCCAGTATTACAGTGCTCAAACGAAACAGCACTTGAGTTTACCAATCAGAAAACGTGTTTTATGGAGAAAGACGCCAGAACAGAGTATTTAGTTTTGATTTTGGTGACGCGCACATGGCAACAAAGAAAATCCGAGCAAGTTTGATGCTTACGAGCGGTTCATCTTCCACAGAATATCAAAGTTGATATCCATTATCTGAAATTATAACTGTATTTTTCATCACCAAAAGTCACTTAGAAGTAATGTCACGTAGAAAATAGGTAGAATTTTCATTCGCTTTTACTAAAATTGCAACACTTACGGGTTTGTATGTGTGCTTGTTTTACACAACTGGCGGAATAATAAAAAGATAGAACTGATTAAAGCGTTAGAACTGGAAACACGAAATAGGCGTGAGCATGAACCTAATTACGAAAATGATGTCCAAAGTTATATTGACGTGCAGTGAATTATTAACTAATAGGTATACAGGCAGTAAAAAGAACTAGGAATAGTGGAGCGACGGTGATTGGTGGAAATGACCAACACTCATCACGACATCGCAAACACCAGCAACGGACACCTTGGATAAATCCACCATCTGTTTGTCTGTTAAAATGTCCGGACAGCAATAACTGAACACACGTTTAAATTGCCGAGAAAAATCCGCGCGACGTTTGCAGAGACTTTTAGTACATCTAAGTATTACCGTCCTTGGAATTGCTCGAGGGGTCACAACTTCAAAAGTTGGGCGCGGGGGGCAGAGTGCAAGATCTGCAGGACATGATAAAACGCTTTTTTATTCGATTTACATATCAAAATATCATCACTAGCTGATATGACCCAGCTAAAAGTAGACTAGCTTCAGCAGTGCATGTTGCCATTAATTTGAGGAAGATTTATGAATACTGGTTTCGGTTTGAGTCAGCATTCACGAATTCGCAGTTGCTAGATAACTCATGTGCATTGTAGATGTAGACAGGCACTGGGACGGAAACGAAACCTGACTGGGGGTTAGTTGTGCTTGGAAGTATCCTCTTGTGGAAATATAAGGGTATTCACACCACAGTGGCATTGTGGCTTGTCTGTCAATCGGCATTATGGGTCGTCTCCGTTTGTTTCGAAAAACCCGGCGCACTTGTTGAGTAACAAATGCTCTTTCCACACTGAAAGTGCCTCAAAACAGCGCTCAGGTGCATTAATCAAAGTAAGTAGGCTGTAGTTAAGAGTGCATTATTTATAGGCGTCGCGCCTATTCGGGTAGTGCGCTGAGCTAATGCAAGATGAAAAAAACTTGATTGCTTGCTGAACTTGTTCGAGAAACTTGAGGGCGCGTTACGCATCCTGCCTACCTTTTTTAAGCTCTATTTTTAATTGATAATATTATATTCTTGATAGAAAACATGATTTAATTAGTATGTAAACGAGAGTGGATTGTGAGGTTCTTGTTTCGAAGTTAGATTAGCACATCTTCTTGCATAAATTTTAACATTGTTGCATCGGATTCTGATAATAACCAGCGGCATTTTCGTATATTATTAAGCTTAATGACCTGAGCGTATTCTTCGTGAACAAAATTACTCGTAAAAGCGAAGATTCGCGGTGAAAATGTGGAAACTCAAAGAAATGTTCTTTTAGTCCTTCTCTTTTTAAATAGAATTCCTTTCTTATTTTTTACTTGATTAAATGCCACCTCACGAATAATTAGTCTGAGTGATAGCATGAGCTAGAAACTGGGCCACGCACATCGGCACCTTAAATGACCTGAGAAACAAGTCGCACATGAAATTGAATTCGATGTAGTCAAAATCAGCACACCGGCGAAATGCCACAGTACAAGAAACTACGCGTTGGTTTACTGACAACCCCACTCACTACTAGAAAGATTCTCGCGTGAACGCGAGCAGTACCGGACAGACGCCGTGAGGTAGTGAACTGGACTGGAATTTGGCCGTGATGTCTCAGCAATTCTCGGTAAGTTAAAGCCACCAAACATGATCTTTCTCCCAGAAAATTCTACTGCGTTTGGATTAAAGATGAGAATTAATGGCCCGCCTTGGGACACCTATAAAACCCAACACATACTGTACTCCGAATGACTTGATCTAAATGAAATAATACTTACTCCCATGGACCTCCTAAAAGTGTCTAGATTCTTCAGATTTACTTGTTAAAACCTCGCGATATTTTCGATACTTTTACCTTAAATCTTTGTACTGACACTTATCAGTAGGCTAAGCCTTTGCCGATCGTTAACCCTGCTTCTGCTTACTTATTGGTTGAGCGCGATCCTGGTGGTCGGCCATCTTGAATACTACCGAGCTGACCACCGGGAATTATTGTGAGGAACTTGAATTGGCACTTCACCTTAAATAGGCCGCTTCAATGCTTGCATATTACAGTTGCCTTCCTACCTGATTGATACCCAAACATCAGGTAGCATCATATTTGTACCCCCATCTTCGGTGCCTTGAATGTTTTTGATTTAACTGACCTCGGATATATCTAATCTGACAAAAGAACTAACAAGTACAAAACTAATTACACCTCACAATTGTTATTGTTGAATCCGCCAAGCAGATATCAAAAACATATACGTAATCACTACATATCATTTTGTTGGAAAAGCAACGTAGAGTTTAATCGACCAATAGATGGAAAACTGCCACGAACATCCTCTAAAAAGGTGGACGTACAATTTAGAGGACTCTAACCAGGTAATGATCCACTACCGTTCGGTAACCTATTCAAAATCAACTACTGTCAATTTACTCAAAAGTAGATGACAGACACTGGGACATGATATGTCAAATAACTGCAACAGAACGCCTTTTGTAATTTAAAACTTGTGTTTTCCATATTTACGAGTTGATACATGATGTGATTTCTAGCTTATCATTGTGATAGGAAAAGTTCAGATTTTATTTTTGATGTACTTTTCTGAAAATCTAATTAGAACATTGGCAAAAGCATCGTTACCGTGCTGATACACTTCACTTTATTTGGAGATGACATTTCCTAATCAAGATACAATTACTGTACTCGGGAACTTCGGTTATATATTTTCCATTACATGAAACAGATTCCTTAATGGACCACTTAAATGTGGCTTTTGGATTGTTACAAGAAATGTTCGTGAATGCACAAATTTCGAAGGAGGAGATGCTGGGTAAGTCAACATGTTCCTCCATAAAAAGTTTGCTTCTTTGTGTTCATTTCGACTGCCCCTATCTTACCGTCTCCCTTCTCATTAAATGCAAAATCCATCTTGATTGCTGTCACGGTAGCTCAAGGCATCTCTGCTAAGTGGATGCACTTAGACGAATGATTCACTCCCTGGTTGAGACTGTACAAACTCTATCTACGAGGTGTTGCCTTTGTCGTTTTACTGAGGAAGTTAAAGCTCGCGTAAGGCAGGGGAATATGTGACTTTGTTTTCCTCTGAGTGCCTGGTTTTGGTTACCGCGTCTTGCCGTTAAGAAGCTGCTTACGCGGAAAATGTGTGCGCTGTTTTGGGTAAAAGCATATGGAGCGGTTTTTCGCCAGGTGAGATAGGTGTTCCGTTCGAACCCACTAGCAACAAGGTATGACCTGATAAAAATGATCCCTCAAGCCCCTCGGATGACACAAGAGAGCTGCAAGACATTCGTACCAGATATTGATGTTAGTAGAGCAGCAATATAAACAAATTACGAAGTTTATTAATTATCGCGATTTTACGCTGCTAACGCTTCAGGCTCCAAAGCAGGCACACCATTGCTCATTGCAAACATACTTTAATGAGGGGCACCCATCCAACTGCGCTATGCCTACAACGCCGAGCTACAGAGGACTTCAGCCAGGCGGATACACTGTCGCGTTTCATCGCAACGAGCGAGATGTATGCCACGTCCGGTGATGACTTTGTCATACAGCAATTATCTAAAACAGTTCACGCTACCCTGTGGCTGCACACGACATCCAACAGGAAAGCTCTTCAGGCTTCAAAATTTGCAATATTGACGGTTGTTTGATGTTTGTCTTTTGTTGTTGACATCATTTTGTTCACATATTCTGTGGCAATTTAATTCCGGGCACCATAGCATTGGCCAAATAGTCTAAATACAACAACTTTGTTAACATTCCGTTAAATAACCAGGAAACTTCTAGGGTCGTCATGTGTCGCTCTCAATGACAGCAAACCACCAATAATTCGCCTACAACTCCACCTTCCAATATTCTCAGCCACAGAAGTCTTGATCCCAGGAGAACACTGGTTTTGTCTAGGCCCATCAACATGACCTCCTTGTTGGCGTTGTCTCAGAGTTTTAGCCATCGACCGTCGCCATCAATAACTCCAACGACACGTGGCACCAATTTGGATGGCAATTATCTAGCATCAAGTTCAAACGCTGAATCAGAGCAACCGGCTTTTGGGGGAGACATTAGAGTCTTTCTCCTCACCGCTTTTTCGCTTAAGGTTAGGATTTACGCTGTTCTGCGGATAATGATTTGCTTTGTTCCTTGGGCGTTGATTCTGACTACTAACAAAATGCCAGACAGTAAATTCGAACCATGTCTCAACTAACCCACTACCCGATTTTTCAAATTCGTCCAACATACGTTTGTTGGGATTTCGTTTTGTCCACGAAATTACAGGCATTTTAATTAGCTCGCAAGTGAGCAGAACAAAGTGCCTTCTGAGATAATTACTCAAAGTTTATAGGTTTAATTATTCATTTTCGGAATGAAATAATCAAACATTAGCCACCATTGAGAGCCTCAAAAATGTAGCAAAAAGGTTTTCTGAAAGATAAATGACATTCGTATGGCCAGGGTTGCTCATACTGGCCTTTAGTTGAGGAACTGGAGATTTTCTAAGGAAATGTAATAGGTAAGTCTATCGGTCACTTAAATTAGCTATTGAGCTATGACATCATTAAATTGTTGGGGATCCACGATACCCCAAGATTGCTCATCGTTGATTTTCGGCACAATTTACACAAATTTCCTAACATGTGCTTTCTTACGTTTTTATCAGGTCAATGTCAACCTTGGCTTGAATTAATTTCACTTTTGGACAACTCACTCGCACGTGGCTGACGTGACTGAAACTCTCTCAACACGAGCTCTGGTCTTGTCCTTGGATTAGCGTGGGAAGGTCGGTGCTAGCGTCAACAAGGAATCCAGTACCCTTATTAGAGTGGTTTTCTCTTTGTTACGGGCAAACGTAACAAAATAATTTGACCGCGTATCCTGAAAAGCGCTGAATTAATCTCGTGTCCTGTTGTGATAGAGACCATCTACCATCAGGCGTGAAATGAATTTAGGTAAACAACATTAAAGCATTTCTTGTCTGATAAACACATTTGAAGATGTCGGAAGTAACAATCCTTGATCGAGCGACCGTTAATTGGAGCGTGTGATTTTAGGTTGAATAAACAAGCACTCAGCTCTGCTACATATTCGTGCATCCACAAGTATGGTTTATTGAAAAATGGCGTTGACGAAACAATTTGTAAAAATTAAAACTATGCACATTTACATCCCCTTGAATGTCTTCTGGTCAACCCAAAAGTGGTAAAAATGAAGCCACAACTACTTACTTCTGGTGCAATGTAATCGGGGGTCCCACAAAAGGTCGATGTTAATTCATCACCAATGATACCGTCCTTGCACATCCCGAAGTCGGCTATTTTCACATGACCATCGGAATCGAGGAGAACGTTGTCCAACTTAAGGTCCCTGGAAGAGAAAGGATGTGAAGTGATTATAGAGGGTTTCGGCGCTCAGAGTAAAGGATGGTTCCAAAGTCCAACGAAATCCCTCTACTTCTCTGCTAAACAGCTATCAAGGGAAGCGTCTAATATGCAAAGCCACTTACTTCGGGAAATAGATATATATGAACAATTTAAAGGCGAGAATTCCACTTGCAGGCACAGATTGTAAGAAAATCGGTCAGCTTATTCAATTTTAGCTAAGCCATAGAGACATGCGAGAAAAACAGGACGACGTCGCCGGATACATTTTAGCTGAACTATCTTCTAAATTTCCCAATTTCATTATATTATTAAAAAAAGGAGCTATTTTGGCCAATGCAACTGAACTGGAAGCCCATATTTCAAGTAGTCGCAGATTAAACTTGGGCGCTCTACACAAAGAACTGTATTTTTATGTGCGACTGTCTTACTGATAAATGTAATTTTTTAAAAAAAAGTAGCCTGACATCTAAAAACACGAAAGCCTACCCACATAAAGCTGACGTTTGTGAAGTCGCTTCTTTTAATCTGCTAGATAGTTGCATTTAACAGAAGCGTTGCATACGACGATTTTGACTCTGTTCAGCTAATTAAGCGATGTTATAGAAAGAGCTAAACCATACTTAATAGGCAATGCGATAAGAACTGGTTCTGGGGAGACTCTCTCAATCTGGTTCCTTTTTTAAAGCATAGATAGCGATTTAAATGGCTGGGCCGCAATTAAGTTTATTTGTCGTAAGGGGACAGCGGCATGCAAAGGCGATTAAGTGAAACCGACAAGTAAATTTGGGACAGTCTATAAATAGTATTTTATTGTAGATGGTTAGGATTACGTACATGAAAAACAAAAGTAATTTTGTGAACTAGTCTCGATGTGTTTGTCAATTATTTCAAAAGTCTATCAAACTTGTTTAAAAAAGTAACAGTGATATGAAGAAGTCTCGTTTGTTTTTGAAATTATCATGCACAAAATAGTCCCCATGTCAAAATTATTTGGGAAACTCTAGCTCACCCTCATTTTTATTTATCCTAACTTTAAGCAACAAAATTCTAACCTTGAGCGATCTAAACCGTAATACATGTAGACTGGTGATGTAGGCATTGATTGACTGAGCCACTTACAATATTGTCTTTAGAGGTTGTTTGCTAGACATCAGTCAAACGACAAGATTGCTTTGAATAAGTAATTTTGAAACCAGATTTCTTTGCCAGCTAAATTTCAACCGTGTTTTCAATATTATTTAAAAGTGCCGAAGAACCACAAAAATAATAGGAATATGGCTACTAAATACGGCGGCTTTGTAATTCTGTCTCTCCCAACGAACGCTTTGGAAGAAGTAGCTCAAAGTCTTAAAGGATGATAATGCGGCTCACAACACTTAAGAACGGGACACAGCAAACTAGACTTGCTCGTTAACAGCACAAACATTTTCAAAGGGGCTAATGAATGCTAAATGCCACCTCATTTGCCTCTTGTGTGCCAAGATAAATGCCAAATTCCCCACGAGACCTCCAATTCAACTGAGTTGGGTTGATTGGGGCAAGTGGGTTTGCACCAATCGTACCACCAATAAGTGCCCAAGGCTACTTTGCCACCACTCGTGTCCTCAGAGGACCGGCAAGTGTAACTTCACATAATCAAATTACTCTATGCCCCACTATCTTCAGTTCGATTATCTTGAGTCATTTAAGCAAAAGCGATGAAATTTGTGTCTGAGTTAAAGTGATTTATTTGGCGAACTTAGCGAAACCAATTTGAGTGAGCATTTTGTCCACTTGCTTATAATCTAAGGCAATATCTCAAGTCTGCGGATACTTAGTGGCCTCCTAGTATGTGACTTTGCTCTCATATTTACCTGATAAACGTGGGCTGTCATACTTGTTCATTATCTATTGTGAAGGTACATTTTACGCAACGCTGAGTTAGATTCAAAACATTCCGCCACGTCCAAGCCAACGAGCCTCCCAGCAACAGAAAGATTCCTTGAAAGGCACCTGACAACTAAAGGGTTTGATTTGATGGGTTGAGGCATTTCCACGTGCTTTGTCAATTGCACTTTTATTGCGATTTTGCTTGTGCTTGGCGAAATTTATAGGCGATTGTAAGAAAAATCTTCACTTTGCAAGAACGTTGCTGTCAGTTTTCTCAATACTTTAATTTTTAATTTTATGGACCACAAAATGGAGTGCCAAGCTACGACAAATTATAATTTAAACTCGGTATGCTTTTGCGTTCAATTGTGGCAATAAAGTTACGATCGCGGTACAGAAAATTTTTGAGGTCTGTGGAGAAGACGTCTCTATTGAATCACCGGCACGTGAGTAATTCGCTTAACACAAAAGCAGCAAATTCGATTTTAGTTTTACACTACTCTACAATTGTGTACAGGATTATACTGAGGACTTTTTTTAAACCTGGGCACCGCATGACTTAACAAAGTGGTAAACATATCATTTAACTATTGCGATAGATTTGCTTGCCTGACACATCTGTACTCAAGGCCAATGCACCACATTGTCACTGGCGACGAAACACAGTGATGTTACATCAGTTTTAGGGAAAAGAAGTAGTGTAAGTACGGATAAGAAATCATCTCCTTGAGTTAAGCCAGACCTCCATTCTAGAAATACAATGATTTGCACCAGGTGGGGCTGTTAGGAGTCCACTTATTGCATAACGCTCACATGGAGTCGGACAACTGACTAGTGTCTCAAATTGAGGTAGTAATGCACTCTCCATCCAACCTGGACCTCGCGCTGTTCGCCAAATGTACGGCATGAAATTCGAAAACAACAAAGAATTCAAGAACGGTTAAGTGGTTATTTTGAGACTACGACAGGAGATTTTGATGAAGTGCAATCAACGGCTAAATGTAACGGTAAGCGGAGGTTAGAATGGAGGAAAAGTACATAGCCGATTGACATCTTACTTTGGTCGATGCTTTTTTATTGACAAAGTGATTGATAAAAATTAATGGAATTTTAGACATTAACGTATTTATTCAAAAAATGTTGCAAATTCACGTGCGGAATGCTGCCTTCTTATCAAAAAATCAATTTTCATGTGTGAATGCCTCTGATAAGCATTTATAAAAACCATCGGTTCTTTTCTTACGATTTCGGGCACCAGTACAGCATCGTAAATTCGAATGCACTAAAACTAACTAAACATTTCAAAATAGAAAAGCTTGATCTACCGCAGTTATTCTTACCATAGTCCATACCTACATGTCTAACGATATATCGAAGAGACACGGGAATGTGCAAGTTGAAATTAATCTTACCTGCATCAACTTGGCTATCGTAGGCGATTACATTACAAACGACATGCATTAAACTTGTCTGTGAGTGTGTTGTGCCAAACGGTGCATGCACCAGCATTTGTGCCCAAATGGGACTATGAGTAAACAGATAATCGGACGCTTTCATTAGCCCTAATACAGTCTAGATTGGTTTTGAGAAATGCACTGAAGTTTCGACAAAAGAAACCGTCAATTAAAAACACACGATTATGATCGAAGGGACGAACCAGTAAAAACATACCTGTAAATGATTCCATTAGCATGCAGATAGAACAACCCAGTTGCGATCTCGGCACCGTAAAATCTGCAGCAGAATACTTTGGCATAGTGAAACTCATTTCAACGACGACAAATGTACTGCATCTAGGTGGCAAGGAAGAAAGGCTTACACAGCAACAGGCTCCTTAAATCGTCCATCTTGTTGTATGCGGTACATAAGATCCCCGCCATTCGCGTATTCCATCACAAAGTACAGCCGATCCTGTAAATCGAAAATTAAAGGTTAATCTTAAGCCTGAGTACCCTCAAGCCGTCTCGTGTTATTTCAATTTAATAAGTGTGACATTCGTAGCTGAAAAATAAATATTTTCTTCACAATTTTTATTTAGGCGCCAGAGGATAATAAGAGACTGTGGTGGGAGAAAACTAGAGGCTTACAACTTTATTCGCCACTAGCCATTGGCTCTTCACGCACGGTCGGTTACAGCAAAATGCTAGCGCAGCCTTTACTGTCAAACATTCGCTTGTCGAAGAATTTTAGGCAGTTAATTTATGTGTTGCTATCACCGTTCTACGAGGAGTTGGTCTCAACATATCTTCTTAGGCTTGTATTTAATGTGAGCAAACAGCGCCCGCTCACTAAAAATTGATTTCCACACTCAGGTCGACACGTCGGTGTTGATTACTTAAGTACAAAAGGTAGCTCGGAATGTTACAAAACGTGCGCGTTATTTAAGGGATAAAAGCATTGGTAATAATACATATAAACAACAAATAAGTCTAAAAAAGGAACATGTTTGAGTTGTGCATCACAACGCTTCGGCTAATGGATCAACCTTTTTTTAAAGTGGTATTAATTGAGGTAACCTTAACTGTACGGTAACGGAGGCAGATGCAATGGCACACTAAACGGTAGGGTATGTGTCATCTACTTTCTTCTCATTTCAATGATATTGGTTTTACTAACTATCCACAATTCAGCCGCAAAACCAGATGCAAAATGTATTCTAAGCGTTTTACCAAAATACACATTTACACTTATTGCTCTAAACGTAGTTGAACTAGTCCAACCGCTATCGCTAAACTCATGGGGAGATAAAAAGGTCGTTAGTTTGACGCAGAAAAAGGATTTATTTTGCTCAACATGAGTTAAAATGACACTTTAGCAAATAACAAATGCGATCCATGGTAAGTAAACGTCTGCGGAAATAGTGACAAGAGGTAAACTAGCCCGTTGAAGCAGTATAACTAATAATCTTAGAACCACAAATTCACAACCCCCTATTACGTCATTACTGTAAGTCTTATTGGGATTTTGTAGTTAAACAAACCAAACATAAACTTTAAATGTGAAAAAGTTTAGGTCGAGACGAATGGAGACAGCATAAAGTTAAAAAATGTATTATTAATAAAATTGTTTGAGTGTAGCTAGATTAGACGCAGTTCGTTTGTAATGGTGCCACCACCGACAAAAATAAACTAAGTAGAAAACCATGCACTTTAATCAGTAGTTTAAATCCACAAAAATGTTTTTTTTAAATACTTGCCATAGTTTGGAAACAGGAGTGAAGTTTGACGAGGAAATGGGGTTTCTCTTGTAGAGCAAGAACTCTTTTCTCCACCATCACACACTCAACGTCATCGTCCTGGAGAATGACGTCCTTTTTAAGAATTTTCATTGCAAAGACATCATCTGTGCCCTTTCTCTCTGCCAGGACAACCTAATGAAAAACACAGCTACACTTCAGTCATTAGTCAACGCAACGTCTCCAACATGGGCATTCGATGACATAAAAGCCTAGAAAGGATTTGGGTGTCATTTTTCTAAAAGAATTTAAAATTTTAAGATAACTAGAATGAAACAACGGCTTCACGTAGCCATGGCTTCAAGAAACTGCCAATCACAAGGCATGGTCACGGATCGCGCAACAATCAGTTGAACAGTGCCGATTAAATATTAGGATTTGGCTATTTCCCGGAGTTTCTAAAGCAGAATTTACACATCTGTCATAATTCGCTTCCTCTGTGACGTCAAGATCATGGAAGCTAAGACAACACAACACAGCATGCTTTTGTTTTGAAATTTCACTGCTCGTGCTATTTGTAAAGGAGGGTTTATGCCCATGCACGATGACTTTTAAGGCTTCCATATATTAATTTAATCAAACTAATGCTAAGGTGTCAGTTTGACGAACGCTTACTTTTCCGAAGCTGCCCTTTCCAAGGACAACTCGCAAATTGAAATCGGAAGCCCGCGGGATATCTTGCTTGTGAAGACTTGGCGAAATTTTAGTAGTGCAGGATTTGTTACTGGGACTCTCCATAGACTTTCGCTGCAAGATAATAACGGAACACACAGTGCAACTAAGCACAGTCACAAAATATTGTAGATGAATAGTAACAGCATTTTTATTTCTCTAACTCAATTAAATCTGTCTAAAAAAATCGAGATTGCTAAAGTCGATTTCCTCAAATAATTTGTTAAAAGCACGAACAGCTCAAGTTTATCTTGCATTCAAATAGTCAGTAAACGCTAAACAGCATTTGGAACTAAACGACCCTTGATTGGTGCAAACACGCTGATTCGGACTTCATCATGTCGTGAAAATTAAATATTTAAAAACTGATTTTTTTCGCATATTTAACGAGACCCAATTTTGAGAAATTTGTACAGTCATCAGTTTGTTTAACAGAGTATAGCATGATGCGACGGATACCAGCCACATCACCGTGTGACCTTTTAGTGTTGCAGAACCTCACTAAATCCCGCCCCAGTAATCGTATTCTAAACTGCTGTGCTGCTAATAGGAAAACAGATGTTCAGCAAAGGGGGATATTTGCAGAAAATTTGCACTTCGGCAAAGCTGAATCAATGAGCGATATTGGTTTTAATTTGCCGCAGAGAACCGAAGCGCCACATAAATGGCCTTCAAATCTACACAAAAATACATACAACAAGATTTCTAAATTTCCTCCATTATTACCTCTTCAGTTTATTGAATTGCATCGGAATTTTAACACTAAAAGTTAAATAATTTAAGCGAAAGCGGACCGCGGCGACAATACGTTCATGTTAGGGCAAACCACTACACGTAGTTTCAAAGAATGGTTACTTAGGAATTGTCAATGGACAAACAAAACGATCTAAAGGTTCCGAGACTTAACTCAGCATAGAAATGAAGCAAAACCATGTAAAAATCACCGATCAAAGGATATAAAGGACCTTCTGATAATTACATTTACCCCTTATAAATCAACAATGTTTGAAAGGAGTAGATGTTTACTGAATCGATGGTTATACTTGCGGCTTTAAGTACTATTGTTAAACTGATTTTTCGTTTAATAAAATATTTGTCAGCAATCGGCAGAACCTTTCTCTCCGTTAGCCTCATGGGCCACTGCAGCAACAGACACGGGGTTATGTAAATGCACTTGCATCATAAGCAGTGCGTCCACCTATTTGAATGAAAAACCCTAAGCAATCAAAGTCCCGTTACAGTTCATCCAGAATCGTTTTCCTGAAACACTCTTTGGTTCTCCGTGATGCTTTCTCGTGATCGTTTCTTTGGTTGTGGATTCAAGGTTAAGTTGCTCTCCACTTCTTGTTCACACGAAGCACTTTAAACGAAGGCATCTTTGGACCGAATCTCCTCAGCGCATATGTGCAAAATGGAATCAGGCGCTGCAAATAGGTGTTCCTGTGGGCAGTTAACCAGTGTGGCTGTTTATGTCGTGGTGGTGAGTCATTGATAGGTGACAAAGTGGACAATTCCTCGATCGATGGACCAATAAAGAGAACTTAATGTTTCATTGATTAATCGTTTACTAGGTCTTAGCACCAAGCAACGTACGCTGCACCTTCTAAAACGTTAGGACCAACACACAGGTTGCAAATGAATGTGCATACATAAAATGGGTAGGGAACCATGAGGGAAAGTATGAAGGAGACTGTAAGAAACAGGTGACCGGCGGTTAGTAATTCGATTGTAAAAGACAGTGAAAATTAAAAGGGCGAGAAAACTGCTAAGTAGCCTGTTTTCACACAACTAGCACTTAATTTACTTGAAAATAAGTGAAATTAGTTTTGATCTGGATACCCACGGAATGGACAATACATCTAAATGGATGATGCGAAAACGGATTCTGGTTCTTACCAATGATTAAACTGAATTTTCCACACAGCTCGCCTTAGTTGTTTTACAGTTCGAGGATGGAGATTTGGGGGGTACTACCATTGTACTTTCAGCATTTATATTTATCCATTCCTCATTAATTTTGACCCATGGCGGGTTTCCGCGACGCTCTAACCCAAAGTATCTTAAATACCAAAGCTTTAATATGAAGAATATTAAATTTTGAGTTAAAAAAATGGATATAACGAAGGCAGGCTCCTTTCGCGACCAAAAACCAATGCAGTTGTATTGCGCAGTTCGTCCTTGGTTGCACGCAACGCCAGATGGCGATCAACCCTCTTCCCATGTTCCTCATGCCCCTCACAGACCTAGACTTAAATTGCGCCTTGCAAGCCCACTACAGAACAACTAAAACACTTAGTCAATCCCAGTTGAAAGTAGGAAAATCTGGCCGATTGAATGGTTTAAAACAAATTGACAGGGATGACAGTGTTAAATGGAAAAACGACCCATCACGGATATCTTCGATGTCAAATCAGTCGACCAACCTCACCTTGACTTTATTTTTTAACTCGATTAGGGCTTCACTGGCTTCATCGATGCACGGGCAGGCGTAAAATTCGCCCTCCTCGGCAGAGAGCAGTTTAAACCATCCACTTGTAGGGGCCTTCTTTAACTCGCCCACACCAAAGGAAAGGGATCCCATGAAGTCGTTTCGCGAGGTCCGATCCCAGTCCCACACTTCCACTGACAAACGCTTGCCCATGTCCTCCGGCTCAAGGGCACTAAAACAAGAAACAGCCGAAATACTGGTTCCTCAAAATTAGTCGATTCTGAAGCCTGCAAAGGCTAAATTTTCAAAAAAAAAAATGGTTGAAGGTGTATAGGGATCATTATTGGTGAGGTTAAATAATATACACACTTTCACGTTGAATGCAGAACTAAGCAATAGTTTGTGATTAAAATTGGTTTATGTTGACACCACTACTAAGACCGCTAGTTAGATCATTTTGAAACCAAGATTGTGTACTCCGTTTTTACGTCTGCGTCGATACGTTAAATCACTCCAACTTTCATTCGGTGCCACTTTTGTTCGTATACCATCCAATATCACCATGACTTTGTAGTCACAATGGGCTAATTTTAAAAATGGTATTTAAATGGCACAAACTGTGCTACTGCGGACATATCTACACGGTGCCTTGACCTGATTAACAAATAATTGCACTAGCTTTGGAGTCTGCGTATTTTAGTACAGAAAAAAAAGTGGTTTTATACTGAACGACATAACAAATGACAACCTTATTTGACGCAGAAGTGGCAAGAAATTTTAGACTTAGACAAAAACGGCCCATAGAAAGCTTACATTTGAAACTCCTCGTTCCACGAAGGATTGAGCGTAGAGCGAATTATTTTCGTCTTCAATTTAACGCGCTGGTTGTCATCGGCAGGACTAAGTTTGATTTTCACGTAAGGATCTGCGAGACCATTCGGATCCATCGGAGTGAGATTCTTGGCACCCAAAACTGCATTATCCAAGGAAAATGTTTGAAGTTAAAATCAAATAAGAAAACCCAACAGAGAAATCACAGATCGCAAGTTTTCCTATCTCAAACTTTTAATTGTCGATTAGCAACAGACCAACCCATTTTTTTCAAAACAATACGGGAAATCGTAGAATTCTCGCTCGGAATCGTTACTGATCAACAAGATCACTTTGATTCTTTAAGTTTAATTAAAACTTCTTATTTCAGTCTTACATTGACTTTTACCTAAAAAAAATCGTGCAGTGGGTCTTGCGATGTCTGTGCAAGGGAGTGTACACACAAGGGAACTTCAGTGTCTTCACTGTACGAATTAAAAATGCAAATCCTCCTCGTTAATCTTTTGCCTAACTTCTATGAAGTTCGAAACGAGTAACAATTTATTGTCTAAGGAGATTAAAGTGGTCATCTCAAACAATTCTCTCCGAGTTTAGCCCAACATTGCTACCATCAAAGGAATACAATCATCAACATTTCGTCTCACCGGCAGCCTTGACAACGTGAAATTCCAAAACGCTACACACCTTTCAGAATATGCCCGGATGGATGATTACACCACAAATCAGAAAGTTCATTAACAAGATTCTTGGCCAACAATCGCCTTTGTGCCACTGAAAACGTGATTTGGCTTTTCAGGGTCGATTATGGTTTCAATATTAATACTAATAATAATTACTATTATTATTGCCATTATTCTTATTTACATTTAAGGAAATACTTTGTCTTTAACTAATTGATATCACCAAGCCTGGTAGGTACTTTTTTCAATTTTTTCGGATGATGCAACATTGATAGTTAACACCAACATTTACCAAATTCGCCCAACTAAAAGTTCATTGCAATTGAATTTAAAATGCAAAGAAAGTTTATTTTAAATTGCATATTATAGAACTAGGCCATGTAAAATGAAATATTACAGCAAAATTATCCTTTTGAGTTAACGCTGCTTGCTTACGTTTGACGAAGGAGCAAAGCGCAGTGGAATTAATAAGAACATAGTAGCTAGCGGACCACCGCCTATAAATACCCAGGTTTCGACACTTAAGTCATATTGAGGCAGTGTGGTAAGACAGATCAATAATTGGTCTGCTGATCCTGGCCCGTGCCATAATCGGAAAGTCCTAATCAAAGCAGGCATTTAACTTTCTAGCGCTGAAAGTATCTTTGGATTTTCGATTAACACCAGACGTGATCCATAGCACACGTCAGATCTCAAAAAGGTTAAGGCTCAATTGAAAATATTATGGAGGACTCTAAAGGAATAATTTGTAAAAGTGCAGTACAATATTGAAATAAAGCACTTTCAAATACACTGACACGTCAAAGCGTTGTGCGAATTTGATTTTGCAAATTTAAATAGGTACATTTACTTCCAAATTGATTCAGTCTACTTTAAATTATTCAAGAAAATACAGATTCAGATGTTAGATTCTAGTAAAATATCGTAATTGATTGTTTACACAGTAAAGTAAATTATTTTTACTGAAGGTTAAAATTAGCTGTGAAAAAGATTTATTGAAGGAAGGATTTCCTTCTTAAAGTATCACATATGTAGAGGACTGCGTCGAATAACTTTGCTTCGTGTTTTTTTTTTGCGAACGTCGTATTTTATTTAAAAAATCTAACAGAGGTACGAATAGTCAGCTAATTACGCTTAAACATGAACAATTTAAGGAAGCCGAATTTCTACCTGGGACTCAATTGAAAAACCGGTCACCTGAACATCCTCCTCAGACATACACTTTTCGCCCTCATGTCCAAAAGCACTACGTATTAGTGTGCGCCAAGTGGTCCAGAATTCCAGGGAAAGGTCACGTTCAGTGTATTTATAATGCGCGCAAATAGTCTGCTTATCTATGACAAGCATTTGCTCGTCAATTTATACCGTCTGAGACGCACTGCACATTAAGCCGCCGACTTAGATTCTCCATTTGTCCGCGCATCCTGGCCTTTGGCCAGGGGACTAATAGGCCGATGATACCGGACGTTTGATCACAACACACCCACCCCCCTGGACACGCATGCAAGACGAAAAGGAAAAAGTGAATTTAAAGTAATATCCACAGGAAAAAGGTCTCTGCCATTTTTGTGAGAAAATACAAACTTTATTAAAATAAAAGCATCCGGATCAAGTAGTTTGAAGCTTCCGTGTACTAAAGACAAAATTTCAGATTAAAATTAGCCATCAGGTACTTTAAATATGTCGTCATTGTGAAATTGAAGTTTGATTTCTGCACCTACGAAACAATCCAGTAAAGAGCGGGATAAATTCTGGTCGAATGTCAGCATGTGAAGTGTGTGGACCAATTTCGGCTGACACCCATCATCAATGTGTAAATTAGTTTCAATGCATATGTTTCTGGAAATTTAACTATTATGTTATGAGTTAAATTGGTTGCTTCATTTAAACCCAATCAGCTCCAATTGTTTCAAAAGTAATGCATAAAAAATCCAAAAGATGAGTATTTGTGAACTTGCTTTATTCGAAAAATCATGGTTTGTAAGGGATTACTTTTGGCAACAGTAAGTTGGAGGTGTAAGTTCCGCGAAATTGATGGAAAACATTACTGCTCAACATTATTTGGATTCCTGAGGGGCGCAGTTGACGTGTACGTTTTGCCAAAAGCAATGGTTCAATAGTCAAAATACGCAGCTACAAGATACACCGAAATCGAATAGCAAACGTATGTCTATGTTTCGAACATTAAGAACTGACCACAATAATACACGCTATCATGAATTACTGGACACCCAAATATTTCACACGTCTGCCAACATTATACGTGATGCAGTAAGGCCAGTTTGTAAGACCATTTCAACAGTTTTACTTCACTTGACTAGGCGTAACCGGAAATGCATTTTGCTTGAAAATACGCTGTGCGTTTACCCAGCAAAGCTGCGTTTTGTTTTAGTGTGTGTGTGCTACCATCGTCAGCCGTGCGCGCACCATATTCAAGAGCATGCCCATTTGCTTGAAAGAACTCAGATGCATCCGCAGTCAATTTCAAACTTCCGTTAAGTTAGCTTTATTACGGATCTCCCGAAAACCTGAATGGTGGTAAAAATATTTTTCACAGTAATCAGTCCCTAGCACTAAAGACACTTTCAAGAACCATGAAAATCCATCAGGCAGGAAATCGACTGAGCCTACAACGATTCCAATGCAAGACAATGACCAAGCAAACACTTCCCAAGTGCGAATAAAATTGACGTTTTACCGTAAAGAAGCTGTCACCTCAGCCCTTGACCTGAATTCCTTTTATTTATTATGTGATAAATTTGTCAAGGCTGCACTGCACACTTCAAACACTGAAAATTTGTTATCAAACTTAAGGAAATCTTGAAAGGATATACGCCTATAGTGCTGTATGAATTGATACAAAGAGTATCAAAAGTCGTTATATCTTTGAGGACAAAACTTGGATAAAAGCAATGGAAAACGCATTAAATAAAAAAACATAAGCAGTGATTGGACAATACTTTTAATAAAAAGCACGAGTTTTTTAAAGCTTTTCAGGAAAATTCGTGCTAAAACTAACGTTTTTTGGAAGTTTTAAATAAAATCAAATTCATATAAAGAAAGACGGAAACAGAAGATTACAACGTCAGACAATAAACGAGAATTTACAACAGGGCCGAGGTGTGCCAGGTTAAATGAACCTTCGCAAAAACATTGAAACACGTGAAATTGGTATTGCTTGAAACCCTCGACAGCGTATTCCTTAAAAGCTAATAATAAAAGGATTCGTTCATCCAAGGTATTATTCGATTCAAAAGCTTAGAACGAATAGTGCTGGCACCATTGAAATTCCACAACCCCTGCCCACTGTTTTGGCTAGGCGTTTTGTCCAATTATTACGATGTCGCGTACGATCAGTTAAAGTTGGCTGCCCATGATGTCTTTTTTTCGCGCAAAGTTTAACACCGTTAAGGACTACAGACTTAAAGAAACACTTTGCTGGTGAAGTAAAATGATCCCTGCTTTATTCGTCTCCAAAAACATGTGATGAGTCACACATTCTCAGACTATAATATAAAATTAACACGCTTGTTAATTCGAATGAAAGCTGCTATTTGTAGATTCTGCATCTTCAAGTAAAGGTCCTCACGTTTTTATAAGCTTTTTTTGTGACTCTTCCTCGATAGATTTTAAATTGACTGGCAAGGCTGATAGAAGATCGCCGCTTGCTTCAAGTCCCTCCAAAATTAAAATGGTCGTCTAATTAAAACCCTAGTATTGTTAGTTTATACGATCAGCCTCTTTTAAACAAAACCTTGTCATCTCTGAGAATACACCTCTATTCTCACCTAGAAAGAAGTCAAAATAATATTTAGAGCAATTTTTTGCACAAAAGCTGACCATAAGAGCCATACCTTTGACTGTTCAAGAACCAGGTAAATCCAAACCTCCATATAAAGACGAATCTAGGACTTAGCACAATTACACGCCAACAAATTGATGGCCTTTGGGTGCCGTGCACGCTGACCCTTTTCCAGTTGTAACTAAAGCATACTTTAGCCTGGTTTCCGCCAAGACCAATCAACAGCCCATGATGCAGCAAGGCGGTACTGCCCTCCATGCCCGAAATCGGTATATTGTGTTATTCAGGATAAAAATTGGTGTCGTTGCATTGCCCCGAGGTTGGGTCTCTATGTAAGTGAACGCTTGACAGGCCGATTTCAGTGTCGTTAGACCCAATCAATGCTGAATGACACTGGTTTAAAGTCTGCTGCATACTTTATAAATCACATTAACGTTTAAGCAGATAATGGACAGGACTTAATCACAGTTTCAGTCGCTGCCATAAACTTTCATATATTTTATCGTTGTACTTTTCCACTCTTGATAGAGGTAGTGCTCATATATTTGATCCAGTTTTGTCAATTAGTGAAGAGCTTGGATATGGATAGAACAGAATTGTTTTAACGGCAACATTGCTCTAGTAACCTTCAAAGGCCATCCTGCCTACCACATTTGCCCCAACTCTCTTGTTTTTTCCTGGAACATCTTTAATACCCACACAACCCTTTTGTAACAATACGTATAGACAGAGTAATTAGATTTAACTTCACGAGACTTCAGTGCTTCACTGAAGATAGGCAGCAAAAGTTCTTCTTGTATTGAACCAACATCTGTGGCACAAACATCGTCCTTATAATTGTAGAGGAACAGCTTGGGCAATTAGATCTCTTTTAGGTGGTTGAAATATTACGGTCTGAGAATCCATCCGTAATCAGGTAATATCAGCTACTTGGACCTGAGCAAACACACTGATTGAGTGACCAGACTCCAACGGCCCTACACACAAGCGTTATAAGGGCATCAATTATCATTGAAAGTATGTTAGGTCTCTCTGGTTTTTGATTATACAAATTAACTTTACTTCGTTGCTCCGGATTCTTATATTTGCGAATTTTTGGACCCCACAATCTACTTTAAAAAGCTTTCACAACATTACATAGTTTACTTAAAAAATATTTTCAGGTAAGTTTACTTTACAAGATAAAAAACCTTTTGAAGTGCTTTTACTTACTCTTAACGTCAAGATAACCACCTTTGTGATGCACTTGTAATTGAATACGACCTCGACGTTCAGTGTGGTCAACACCACACAGCCCTGGGACCATCGCCTTGCATTTTGTGTGAACATTCATATCACACTCTAGAAGAAAGGTATTAGATAACCAAATAATTTAGTTGTTTTTTAGTAGTTCATAACGTTGTAAGCGTACACACTTAGAGCACTTACCCATACTGATTTTAGCAATCGTAAACTGAAAAAGCGTATTAAATTTTCAAGTATTTTGTTTCTAAACGAATGCGAATTAATATTTATGGGATCCAGATTACGTCCAATATACATCGGGCATATTGCAAGCGTAAAACGCTTACTATAACTATGTAACAAGTTAGATTACGATTATGTACACATTATTGAGCTGTGCCATATTTGTGAACTTATGAAATGTGAACTTAGTGAAGGCAACCATAACACGAGTGTGTGTAAATAATAAAATTTGAATATGAAAAAAATACTTAGGTGAGAAATTGAAGTGACAGTATACTTAAATCACATTCCAATTAAAGATTTTTAACGTCAACGCAAGGAATTAGCATGATGAACGGTGTAGACCAATAAAGATGCTGAAATGAAAGCAGCCACATCAGAGACGGCTAAATTACTTGTTGAAGGACAAAGGACATCAAAAATATATCTTAAAATAATTGAATGCATTCACAGATTATTAAAGTTCAACGCACGTATGGAACTGATTTGGACCACGCGTTCACACACAGTCATTATACTCCATAAACGTGGAACGAAGTTGAATGACAAAATTAAGGATTTAGTATGCATTTGTAACGTTTCGGATAATGAATTATGTTAGGTCAAACGCAAAATTAAGTAGGCCATATGAGAGCCAGAATTCCACAATTTAGTTATGAATTCGAGGTTAGGTAAGTGGTGAAATCTATAATAAATTTAAAATTGATTCATGCGCACTATACCCGCATGCCACTCAACGTCGCGTAATACTTTTTTTAAAGCTGTGTAAACTTTAAACCAAAATTTACTTCATATCATTATCACATTGATCAACATAAAATAGATTAAGAAGTTATGGACAACCTTTAAGACTTACTTTCACACTTCATTCCCTGATGTACGAGACCGTGTAAAAGTGAGCCACAATGATCACAGACGGTTGGGCTCCCATATGTGTGCAGTAGAAACTTGTGATAATTTTTAAACTAAGTTAACCCATTAGTCAAATATAACATTTTACATCAGAATCCGGACCCTTATCAAGGCCCGGACAACCAAACGTCACAAACTCAGCACATCTTTTGTGCATTGTAAATAGGCAAACATTGCATTGGTAGCCCTGTTTTCCCAAAACTCCCCTAGAACATTGTGACTAAATCCGGTTAAAAACGACTACCAAATAAAGTCTTTGCAGTGTCCACACCACGTTGGCTGCTTAAAATACCGAGATATAAATAAGTGATCCTTCACTATTACTACATTCTTTTGTCTAATTGCGCCTTGTCGCGCAAAAACCCTGTCTCGCATCTGTGATTGTACAATTTAGCTCCAAATAAATTCTACGTTAGTTAGATTAATAAAACAAACGTAAGGACACAAAAAAGAAATCTGTTTTTTTTTGTTTGCAAAATTTATCATTTTAAAATTGCTTGACAGCATTAATTTTGTGCGCTTTTACGGTCAAGCACTTTTGATTATGGTGTCCTTTTGAGTTGTAAGCAAGAAATGAAAGTTGAATATTTCCCCAAAAACAAAAACACATGAAAAGGTAAATTCTAAATATGAGTAACAGCTGTCCAAATGTGCATTTTTAATGTGCATTAAAGTGAGAGTTTGTGTTAGCTTGCTTAGATCTACGTTATAATAATCTGTTTTACGGACCTTAAATTCCATGAGAGAGGAGAGGAAATATCTGATACGATATTCTAATGCACCACGCTAACCATGTGTATCTGAATGCGTAAATGCCCATGAGAGTAACAAGCAATTACTGGAAGTAATCAAAACAAAAGTTTGTTTTTCTGCAATCAGTTCGGTATATGCAAATCACTTTTATGAGATGGTTGACAGTCCATTAAATATTTATATACAAAATTTCACAATCCTTACAAACACAAGTTTAAATAAATGAATACGCTAGCTTGTAAAAATTGAAGTACATAATTGTCACCATTATGTTTTCCCAAGTTCACGAATTTCAAAAGTAATCATCAAGGGTTTTCCAGGATAAAATCCTTATCGAGGATTTATTTCTAAATATAAGTCGTGCAAATTGTAATCATGCCGTTAGTTTTTGAAATCTGATTCTGTAAAAAACTTTTTTGAGGGATTTTTTGCTGCAATAAATAAATTTGAATTCTAAACATTTTTCCTTCACATTCTTTACATAGCAATGATATTTGAATGACTACAAACATACAAATTTATCATCGCTGTCTAATTTGATAGGATGGAGTTTCTTAAAAGCACTCGTACTTGCATCTTAATTTCTCAATAACACTAATTTACTGATTCGGCGGTGTGATGGCAGCAATTCACTCCATTGACATCATGTCATCTACAACGAGCCTAGCGATAGGGGACCTCAAAAAGAGACCCCTGTTAGCCCGTCCCTCGTAGATAGCCACACCATCATGATTAGCTACCAGGCACACGATAGGAGAATAACTGATAGAACCGGATGCATTCTACACCACCGCATACAAAATCAGAGGGCTAGAGCTTTGGGAGAGTTAGAGTGGAAAAAGGGATATCCGCGAGAAGGGTCGGCGTTGACCTCGAACTCACGGGTGTGCTTTGAGACAGGTAAGAGAGACGGAGGTGGGAGGAGGACAAAGAACAGGACAGACCGCTGTCTATCAAAGTCCACCACGTTGGCTACGCCGCTCATTGTATTCTGCTCCTTTGGTTGGCTGCATATCTTTCTCGGATGTCATTTGGAACGCAGAGAGACAAATGATTGGCTTAGGCCAGTGCAGCCCAATATGTCTGCGCACTACCCTCGCTTTGGCGGCCAGTTCAAGCTTTCTTTTCACGCTTCACTTTACAGTGCATTTTCATTGGTCCGGCAATGGATTTTCCGGTCATCACTAAGGTAGATGCAAAGAATTATTTTTGATATTCCTAGCAAGCCGTGTTTCTACCTGATGCCCGCGTCGATGTCGATGTCGTGAAGTTGGAATTTACGAATCTTATCTTCGTTGTCCTCTCAACTACTGGCAAATTTGGTGACATGGTATTCTGTGTTTTCTATTGTATAATTTTGCGTTAGGTTTTATTCGAACGCCAAGCGCCTAATGCAATGGGATTTCCCCCGTTTAAATCCTCGAGTTTCTACGATAGCCGTATGCTTCTTGGATGCGATAGGGTGAGCCTTCGTCGTCGTTTTTTGCAAGTGTATGACTATCCCTTTTTTAAAAGTTGGCACTTTGTGCCAGGCACTACTACAGTGTCTAATTAAATCTTTTGATATTTGATGTTACATGGGCCTTTGTGTGTTCTGTTCAACAAGATTCCTTTCTATTGTTTTTTATATTCATCTTGTTTTCCGATAATTCTTCATTGAATAAATTGATGGACACCAAAATCCCTGCACCACTAGTATATTTAATTACTATCTTCTACAGCACCACATCTTGGTAACGGTCTTCAGAAGGCGTTCGGCTTCGGTAACCCCTTTGTATGTTAACGTATTGGGAATCCCTATTATATTCTCACTTTTAAGTGTGGTCGATTTAAGTGCGTAACCTACTCCTATCTCTTATATCAAGAGAACATTGTTCGTCTCCCGTCATTTTGCCCTAGACGGTAGTATTGTGTGAAAGTAACGAATCCATTCATGAACTCCTCGGTAGCTGATAGTTGGTCACTCTTTTCGGCAATGCCTGATTTTTCAACACGTTGTTTCCGTCTTGGAGAATCAACTACTGTATCCCGAATGCATCACAATGTTTAATAACTATGTTTAGTACCACTGATTACGTTGATTCACATGAATTTTAACTGTTTCCATTCTACAGGTCATTTTCTAAATACAGTAGAATACGAACTTGTGCTTTCATAACAGCTAAAGCCACGTTGCTATTCAATTTTTATGAAACGGCTAAGCTCATTCGAATTTTAAAGGATTTCCGAGGACCCCAAATTCTTACACTAACCAGAATATCAACGAAATTTGTTCCTTTGACCAATGCCGCAAACTGGTTGTCCTGCTGAGACTATTGGCAAATGTGGTAGCATGCTTCCTTATGGCATCCTGCACTATGTACAAGTAACCAAATTCATTGGTTTGATCTTTACCCGACACCAAAATATATGAAAAAATCACCAGCCTGGCATGGTCGTAATGTATGAATGGTTTAAATCCTATGGTTGCATAGACACCTGACATTTAGAAATGACCGACTTTAATTTTTTCCACATTTTTTAGGATGAATCGCATCTCTTAGCGAAGAAGGTTGCCACCGAATTGAGATCCGACAAAAATGTTATCGTCAGTTCCACATTCCCTACACCTATTTCTTATTCCGATGCCACAGAAATTTGCAAAGTATTAGTTTCTGCGTAATTTGTAAAATATAATCGTCACATTGCACACTGCCTTCTCACTAGACTGGGAACACCTTTGACTGAGTGGAATTACTGACACCAATTAGTTACGGTACTTTCCCACAATTTGTCGAACTTATGTTCTATGTACAAGTCAACAGTGGTCGGATTAATTGTCTAAGTTTGTTCTTTCGTAAAACCTGTTGCACCGTTGTCTTGTATTCCAATGCCAACAGTATCCTCCTTCTGGTTGTCAATTTGCGCTTCCTTTTCCTCGTTGGGACTCTCGCATTCGCCAGTAGGTGAATCTTTCACCTGAGAAAAGATTTTATTAGACACAAAGTGGTAGTAGCTTTGAACCAACCATTACCTGGATAAACCTACTTAGTGGTTCTGTTATGTTCGTGTTTGTTGTGGAAATGTAAAAACATGGATTAAATCCTTCCCCAGGAAAACAGTCGATGTAAGCCAGGATAACTAATTTGACGAGTCATCCAGATATCAGACTTGCTAATGAAACTCATGGTCATGACCTAATGAGCACCTAAGGGGGTTCGGGCTGTGCTTCCGTGCGCCAGTTGCACAAAGTCGTGATATCAACGTGTGATTCGCGGAGTGCTTGTCACGAACCGCCAGCAGGCCCGTTCAACCCCGCTGGAGGTCTCGAGATTAAGGGGGTTAATTAGGTCCTGTTCTGTAACTAAGCAGATTTTTCAGCAGCGGTAGCAATCAAGGATCCTTGAAATGATGGGTGACTTACGTCATTATTCATGACCTGCCTCGAGTTTAATTCCACGTCGGACGTAGCATCGTAACTCTCCTCGCAGCCATTGGTTTCATTAACATCAACTGGTGGGGTTAGCATCTGAAAGTATGATATGAAGGCACCGGTCATACATGGATAAAAGACCATAAATGTCGGTAGTTATTTTGTACACACTTGTAGTCGTACGTTAAAAGTGTTTTGAGCAGGAAAACCAGCACTGTTTGTAATGCCTGTGGCTACTGAACAAGATATAATTAGATGCAGGTGAAATTGAAAAGTTGGTGCTGAGATGAGACAGTTTCATCCCACAGGCTTCAGTTTGGATTGTCACAAGAGAAGCTTGATATACGATTATATGCGCTTTTGTGCCGATCTATTGCGAATTAGTCGATCGGCAAAAGCTCATCTGCGTTGTTAATTCAGTTTTACTCCTTTGCGACAACCTTTTTGTAACAACTGGTGCATCTCAAATGTCACTCAATACCGAAACAGTCGTCCTGGTCATTATTACGCGATTGTCGTAAGGTTAAAAAAGTTTAAGCTCTGCATCAGGTGAATCTGCCAGACCACAGCAGTGGACCCACGTAGCAGTAGCACTACCGCCGTTCTAGAGATGATGTATGTCATGTCCTGGTCTCACATCTGAACAAAATTTATAAAAAAAGTATAAGTCACTGGAACCTCGAAGGCCAACGCCACCCAACACTAGCACCTTACCCTTTTATGAATTAATTTCTAAACTCAATATTGCCTTAATGATCAGTGAAGTTAAACTGAGCATAAAAACTCACAAGGTTGATAGCTTCTTTGTCCATCCACGCAAGGGTCGTGTACCAGTACTTGAATACCGTCTCGTAATCATTCTAGATTTTTCAAAACAGACTTATTCAAACTCACAGGAAGACTGTGTATTCGCACATCAAGATTCCTAACTTCAGGTTGGCTAGTTGTGTGACTTAAGGAATCGGAAATTTTTCTTTTTTTTGCCAACACGCTAGCCCCAGTATCCGACTGAACAATGTTCCATTTGTAGCTGCTCGTGGCCAGTCGCTTCTGGTGCCTTCGATTAACCTTACACTAGAGGGAGAATTCGGATGTAGAGAGGGTAAATCTTACCGCGTTGTCTGATCGTAAAACCACTTCACAGGCGTTTCCATCGTCATCAAAAACGACACGGTGAAAAGGCCGATGGACAGCCTCGAATGGCTCCACGTACTCTTCAACGTCCTCATTCTATGCAAGGCAGAAAAGGAAACAGCGAGTCTTGACATTAGTAATATATGCTAGATTCAGAAAACAAGGATAACACCGTGCAGTACTTGGTAAGAACGTACTTTTATTTCCATATTAACTTTCCTCCTACCTCGTCGGTGTCGTTTACGTTTAGATAAATGAGAGAGTTCCATAGATAAGGATTGATCAGCAGGGAGCTCATTAACGCCTTCGGCATGTATTAAGTCTTCGACTAATGGAAATTGCTGTGAAGGATCATTAGATGACTCTCTATTGGGCAAGTCGTCAAGCGCTTCTGGGACTGCATTTTCTTCCATCTGGAATTGAAAAGTTTTGTCTAGTTTCTGATAAGGTGGACTAAATCTAACCAAGTATTGGACCATTCTCGTTCCAAGATGTGACATTGCCTTAGCAATGGTACAAAAATGTTTGAATGCATGTGATTCACGAATTAACACTATTCGACTTCAATTAGAGACCAGGTCAATGCAGAAACCGTAGATTTTACAGAGTAAGAGTCCGATGCTTCACATATAGGCATTGCTAGTACCACCACCACAGCCACAACTAAAGCATTCATTTGTCTGTTGGATGAAAAAAACGTAGACCCTCCCGTGTCAATGTAAGCATTCACCACGTGTTGCCAGACGTCGGGCGACGTACGTTCTAAGTCACAGACGTGAGTTTAGAAAAGCCTCACGAAACAACCGAGCCGCGTTTCGGCACCGTCAGTTATGCGCATCACCAGCATATTGCGTTCGCTCACGCAAGCTCCTCTCTTATTTGACCTCTTTGTGATTACGCCACCTATTTATTTGACAAAGTACCTGGTTCGCAACATTCGTAGAATACTGTCAAATAATCATCAAGGAACCAGTCTTCTCGAATAGCAATCTCAGACTCCGATCGATTACTAAAAATAGTTGTATTTTAAGAAATCTAAATAGTGCGTCTACTTACCACTTGTTACCATGCTTTCAACTTGAGGTAAGCTCACTTGAAAGTATCCACCTACCACATCAAATGTATTTCCATCGAAACCTCCGATTTTTAACTTAAAACATTTAGCATTGACCGTTTACCCCAGGATAGAAGATTACAGGTTGGAGCTACCATAACCCAAACATGCAAAGACGAAATTTCACGAACCTTATTTGCCTTATTCAGCAGTGATATTTTCTAGCTATTCGGGGGCAGCGCTCGAATACGATTGCTACACTTCCCTTATCACACATCACAACATGTAGGAATAAAGAAATTAATATAAGGTAGCCATAGCACACTAAAAAGGTTTCAACCGAACAAAAATTTTGATTTGTATCGCAGTTCCAAGAAGAGCTAGTTCAGTCTACTAAAGTAACCGAACTGCCAGAAAATTGTGAAAACCTGTGAAATGAAGCGAAAGGGCAAAGGAACTGGTGAGCATGCCCCGAAGTGAAATGTTGCCATACAAGTTTACATGTGTACCTTTGTCAACACCATGGTGCTCGGGGTAACGCGGAGGCGTTGATGGAAGTGATGGAATCCCCATCGACAGAATTTGGTGTCCTCGTGTTTGAGCAGTGATTCTACTTACAAGGCGAACAACAAAACCCACGAGATCTGGGATGTTTGTTATGGGGCTGTACACGTCAACACCACGCCTGTTCGATTGCTCGTTACCATAACCGCTCACAACTTTCGGAGATAAATGTAAATGGGCAGATTCCACTTTAGTTAAAACATGCACAAGTGATGTTGGGCCCATAAAGTATTAGGTCATCCCAAACTTGAACAAAACCTAACAATTGACTTCTGTGCAAGAGAAAGTACAGTGATGCTGCCAGAAGCAACTAAACTGTTCCAACTTGCAATTAATCGCCTTTTGTTAAATAAGCCAAGTGATCGCCTAACCTGCCCCTATTTAAAAGTAAATAATAGGCGCTTTATAACACTTCTCATGCGCAACCGCCCTGGTAAACTGATGAGCGTCCAGAAACAGATAGTTTGCAGAGGAAAATGCAATTATCCAGAATACGCTGTGACACGAAGAATACTTGTTAATTATCTGATGACACTTTTAGCTTGAAAGTATTAGAGCACACAGCACATAAAAGTTTGCACTAGAGTCTGTACATATATATTTCAATGCGCACGATAGACATATCTGATTAGAAAAATCGACGCTGATGAATTCGACGTTTGGGGGCGAATTTGGGTTGCGGATACGTGGCCACAACAAGCTGGGCATCGTCTTTCTCGGGTGAAACTTTGGACGAAGATGATGGAGAGGAAATAGGTGTTCGTGAAACAACAGACGCAGAATCATTGTCCTCATGCTCATCAGATTCCAGGTGAAAAATTGCCGGATTCCGGCCAGAAGGGGAGGTAAGAGGGGATGCCGAACCCTCTACCGACTTCAGAAAATAATGATTTTTACAAATTCTTGCAACTTGAGATTCAATGGCATCAAGACGTGTCTCGATGAGGGCAATCATCTCTTCCAGGGGGATGAGGATTTCTGAGTGAAGAGATTCGAGTTCACTCGACACTTCGTGGGATTTGGCCCCTTCAAGAAAAAAACATTGGCGCCAGTTTAAGTATGTGAAGTTTTATACAAATGTGTGGCTTCTAGAATGTGCAAGTTTCGGCATGCATTATTTTGTAGGATAGGTGAACAAAGTGTATAATCTTGGTTATAAAATGAAAAAAAGAGTTTTAATTACAATGTTAAAGGTATATCCTTAAAATATGTGCAGACTATCGTTGCTTTAAAGGGCGGTTATCTCAGAAGCACTTAAGGCGATATAAGTCTAGAATACCTTAACCCATGGGTGAAAAGGCTAACGTCCAAAGGGATCAATTTCGCACTTTATGCGAAAAGCAAGTGTGGGTTTGCGGAAGTATAAAACACACTAAGGGGATGTATGTAAATGGTTCACAAAATGACGGCTTTTCGCAAATAAATAAAACTACGCCGACGCAATTAAAACTTAATGCAGATTTTTAGTCACAAGAAATCATTACTGACCATGAAGCGGTGTTGGAGTGACAGTGGGGGGCGCAGTCACAGGCACTCCGAATTCCGTGCGCGAGGCGCCCTCCGCGAAGCCAATCAAACTAGCTGCAGCCTCGATGTCGTTGGCACTCGTGGCAGCGTTGCCACTACGCATGTTCTTCATTGGTGTAATCATTGGTGAGGGGTCCCCCGATAGTTGCCTCTCGAAATCTGGAGCACTGCTAACAAAAAAAACATGACGCAGTAGAAGAATAGCCTGTATAATTCACTCTAGTTATGGTTATCAGCGACCTCCATCCCTTGCTTAGCGTAAGCTTAGCTACAAAGACAGCCATTTAGGGTACCTTTAATATCGAATTATTCAAATGCTTTCCTTGACGTTGGAGGAACATCGAGAAGAGACACAACTAAAAATAAGTCGTTTGAGCATTTGTAAGAAATGCTCAAGACGCACGCGATAAAAATCCCAACTGGTTCAGGTAAGTTGCGTCATCAAAAAAAAATACCCGGGCAAATCGAAAACTTCATATTCTTAAAAATTCGAAATAAGTATTATAATTCCACTTCAGGTCTTTCGGAGCGAGACATACTGTTATCACTTGAGTTCAGCTTCGTTGTAGTTCCTGTTGGGGATCCACGATTTCCCAAGATTGGTTTCTGATTCTATTTACATTAATTTACTAACATTTGTTTTGTTACGCTTTTTATCAAGTCGAGGTCAACCCTGACTTGAATTAGTTTCGTCTTCACTTTCGATTTCACTTCTCGGCGTGTGACTGACATGAATAAAGCTCTCTACTCGAGCTCTGTTCCTGTTCTTGTATTAGCCTGGGAAGGTCGGTTCTAGCTTCAGCACGGGATCTGGTACCGTTATTTGGCAAACGTAATAGTTCCATTAAAAAAACAGCACACGTTAAACCATGTTGAATTGTGTACGTTGGTCAGCGGTGAATTACAAAGTATCTTCGTACGTGAGAGTGGGAAGTTTTAGGCTTATGCGTGGGTGATGATGGTCAAGAAAAACAAGCCAGAATCGTTAGAGATGTGACCCACATCATATGCCATGGCGAAAACACCAGCAAGACATTTTTTCGATTAATTTATCAATAAAGCATGGCCTGTCCATTAGAAGCATATAACGGCATTTGCTACACCAGTTCAAACTTGCACCCATCAGAAGATGCAGTAGCCGGCTCCCGAAATGCTCTATTTTTCAATAAGACAAAAGTCAAAACGGTTCGAATTTTTAAAGCATTTTGTAGGTCGTCGCGTTTAATTGAGGGAGAGTAAGGTACGGGCAGGGCCTCGTTTGGCTGGCCGACCACCAAGTACGGTAAGCCGTCAAGCTTTAAACCGTTTAGTAGTAGCCGCAACAGCGTGTCTAAACCGGGCATTCAAACCACAAGCGAATCACCTCGAAGTCCGCGTGATGTCGTTCCATCCATGCATCGGAATACGTAGATTATGTGCAACTAGACACTACTTTAAGACAATGAAACAGTAGACGCCTACAATCTCGTCTCCGCGACCACCGTTGAAGAGAATTGATGTAAATGAAAATGTTTTCGTGATTTTATAAACAATTTACAAAATCAAATCATACTAAGAGCAAAATCCCATTATGAGTTTAAATTAATTGCCCGGAAAAATATTCTAGCAAAATTTACTCAATAATCCGGTGATATAAATACAAGAAAAGTTCGTGGGTAATTAGCATTTCCTTCAAACTACTAACTAGCCTGAGATTTGCACAACAAATAATGGTCTTATCGAATTTCGATCATGCAAAAAGACCAGCTCACTTCTTTAAAGAAAACAATAACCATACTTGTCACTCAAAAGCGGTGTTGCGCGTTCATTCATTTGGGAGATTTATATTTGAGTAGTAAAAAAGTTGAGCTCTTAGTCTTTTCTATTAATTCAAATTTGAGCCCATGCAGAATTTTCTTTCTTAAAAAGGTGAATATGGACAAGGCACCATACAAGTACATGACGAGGGCTTTTCAGTTCACAACTGATTCGAAAGACTGACCCGGGTACATCCTATTCCGTTCGCACATATAAATGTAGCGAAATCGAATGGCCCGAGGTCAAGGTACACCGTGCTACCTGTGCCAGGGCTAATAAGTTCGTAGAATGCCTGGCAAATAACAAATGCAAGTTTGTATTTTGTCCATAATGTCAATTTGCAGGACCTGTAATCGTTTAGGAAATCAGAGGAATGCCAACCTATACGACAGCAAAACATCCCGAACTGTGATTTGAGGATTGCGTTAACAGAGTAGCAAAACCTACATGGTAGCATTTGATGGGTACAGCCTGCCCACACCTTGATCCATTTCCTGATCAATATTTGCCAACAGCGACTTCGTGGGAGTATCAAAAAGTGTACTTGGGGTTAGTGATGGAGGGACTTGGCTCGGCGAGCTTAATTGCTGATGGCCAGGGGGCTGATTGTGAGTGGATGCTACGTTGAGCAAATCGTCTGGTATGGTTGTGATCAAGTCGGGCAAGTCCTCTGGTGAACTGTTAGCAAGATTGGCTAGAATTCGAGAGATGTCTGTGGGTTCCAGTGTTGAAGTGCAAGGAGTTGTGGCTGGTGGCTGCAAGGAGATGGATGCGGTTGATTTTCTTTGGGAGGAGCCTACGCCCTCGGACTCACCACTGAGACCATCGAAACCGGCGATTTGAAGGAAGAGGGCTGAAAATTAAAAAAACAACAAAGGACTATCACATAATGCACCGAAACTAAACCAGACGCTCTTGGACGAAACGGAAAAATTACCAGGGTCATAGAATCTATTCACATAGGATTTAGTAATGCTGCGGGAGCACGACTCACCTTAAATAGTGAGCCAACAGTGCGTGGAGCGGGGTGACAGCAGGGAAGTTTATAAACCCAAGCTTAGCCAATACAAATGAAGAGGCTGTGACTACTCTGTACACCAAATTTTATGGTTCGGAAGTTCTACACAACAAACTCCGAAGCAAGCACCCTTGAATGTTCCTTGATACAAAATGCTTACCATTAAACTGCTCATCCCCACTGACGGCGTGTGGTGCGCCAATAAAGGGAAAATCCATCGCTAAATCGCCGTTACCATCACCGCAAGAATCCTTTGGGGCGGCCGTAGCTGCAGTGGTAGATTGGGTTCCAACATCACAGCCACTGCTTCCTGCTCGTTTAATACGGCAAAGTGTGTGATGACCGGTGGTAATCAGGGTACTGAGATGATAAAGCCAACTAATCAGACTCGATGTCTCTTGAACTAGCTCGGCAATGCTAGGAAGGCTACTTGAGTCAGAATCCGAATGATGCTTTACGGATGAACAGTATTGTAGGACTTCGGGCCAGTCAGAGAAAGGTGATCGAGATGATGGTGTCCGGGAACATGCACTACAGATCCACGACTGCAAAATAACATTAGCAGTTTAATGAGTCAATACGGCAAAGGGTGACATGCATGGACTTATTGTCACCTTGCCGGGCTGAGGTATGCACCTCCTGTGGGACCATACACGGCATACAAAGCACTGGATGAGAGTCTCTGGGGCTTCTGTGGAAGGGCCGCTGAATTTGCAGGGAGGACAGAATATGTATCTCTCTGATTTGACCGCTTCCGATTTGAGTTGACTACAATTAATGAAGCAAGATTAGATGATACTTTAAGGAGAATGCTATCAGAGGGCTAAGTAGACTCACTTCTCGGTTTCGGTTTCTGTTTTCTTTTTTGGAATAGAAGATTCTACAGGTGATTGCTGTGAACCGCTTTGCTCACTGTGGTAATTTTGAAGGTGGGCGGTTAGCAAACTCTGGCGGCGCAAAGTTCGAGGGCAATGAGGACACTGAAAGGTGGTTGGGGCAGTTTTTTGCCATGTAGTTGGCTTTATTTCAGGAATGGTGGGAGTTTTTAGTGGTTTCTTACGGCTCTAAAAAAATTAAATATCAAAGCTAGCGTCCGTGCAAAAAGGCATTATACGTGCAACGTAACAATAAGGCCTTTACCGTGGTTATTTGCTTAACGAAATGTGACTCCTGCTTGATTGCTTGTGGTGCAACTGATGGCGAAACCTTTGACTGATCTAACTTCCTCTGTTTAGCAGAATTTCTTTCTTCTCCGTCGCTTAAAACAGCACGCCTCTTCAATTCCCGTCTTTTTTTACAGGCCTCATGAAACTGGACGATATTCCGATCATAGAGCATATCTCCCTTAGCGACAGTCGCCTCATTACCATCACCACTAGCTTCGATAGACGGCTTTTCCTGTTCCACTGGGGCTTCCTTTTTAGGGGGGTCGCTTTGGCGATTGTGACGAAGAAGTTTTAGCACGTATGTTATTTCCGCTTGAGTGGCACGACGAATACACGAGGCAGGTGTCCACTCAACAACGCGATCCCAAAGGAACTTGATGCGATACTCGGGGTGTTCACGGGAACGTTGACGGAAGGCAAGTACTTCCGCGAGGTATTCGTACTGATTTCGCCACAGAGCCATAACATAGGAACCAGGCTCGAAAACAGGCTTGCCGGCAGTTGCTTGAAGCTCTTCACTACCATGAGCCGACCCACGTTTGGACTTTGATCCAGGCAGCATTAAAAGCACGGCGTATTAATAATGTAATTGGGGCGCACTAGGCCTAAAACATAAGAAATTGCATGTGACAGTACACTATACAAAGACCATTCGAGTCTTAAAAAAACACGAAGGTACTATAATAGCGACAAGGCAAAAAAATTCACTTTTTATCAAATAAAAACCTTAAAACCATGGAAAAATGTTTTAAGTTCATTAAATAAAAAGCTCCAAAATGAACCCAACACGAGGAATATTTTTTGTAATAAATAAACCACACACACATACACACAAATTGATTAAAGACTAAAAAACAAGATTTTACGCTCTCATTTGTTTTATAAGGAAGAAGAACTTTAGCACATGGGCAATCATGAGGACCCTGATGTGCCAGCAAAAATAGAAGTGTAGCACGACGGCCAGAAATCGTAGATATAAAGCTGTAAAATAATCCACCCACCCATCTCTACAGGTTATTTCGGTTAAAACTCATTCAGGAGATGTTGCGAGCTGGGAATAGATACTGACTATAAATAAAGTAGACTAATCACTATACATAGCAGAAGGTTATGTATCGACTAGCACAAACGAATGGTGTATAACGGTAGTTAATGAGGCGCAAGGCAACAAAAGGGGTGAATTTCCAATTAGAGAGTGCCTAATACAGAGCGAAAAAAGAAGTGGGACTAGAAAAGGGTTTATTCGATATGCCCTGAAAGCAGACGGGACGAAACGAAAACACGAGGAGGACAGAAACATCTGGCGAATATATACCAAAAGTCTACCAACATTAAAATGCATGAAAGTTCCCAAATGTACCTCGTTATTTACCAAGAGTACTAAGATCTATGGTGCCGGGGAGCACGGAGCACAAGCGCTCAATAAATAGACAAATATGAATAGTGCTCAAAAAGAGGATGGAATCAACACAAAAATACACCTTAAAATTGCTTATGAGCGGACAAAGTTAATGAGACCCGCGATAAGAGCAAGGAAATACCTCAATAAACGACAGCCAACCAGAGCACCACATTTGATTCAGTGATGTCTGTTATTGTTTTAACGCATTGTATCAAAGACATTAAACCTTTATAATTTTGTGTGCTTTCTGATGTTTTCCGCATATTTAAATAATAAAAAAATAAACCCAAGTAATGATCACCATAATTAAACAGCAGTGAACTGCTCTGAAGAGGCTGTAGGTTTGCTAAAACAATATATTCTTACAAAAATTTTAGGGATTTTTCAATGTACGATTGAACATAAGGAATCGAACTCGTCTGGTATTGCTATATCACAGAATAAGTTACTAGGCCCGTTGTTTGAACTAATACCATGAACACAGCAGTACTTTTGCTTCTATTCAAACATCCGTAAAATAAATTAACTAGACAATATCACAATGTCACACAACCAGTTATGGCTTAAACTAGAAAAACTACATTAGATTTTAATGCGCAGTCAAGGTATCATGGAATATCAGTTTTTGATTATTGCACTTATTTGATTATATTATACTGGTAAAGAATTGAGCTTAACAGCAGCTGTAACATATCTTAGAAAAACTCGAAAACTATAACACAACTGATGTGAGAATGGGGTTCGTAATATAAGTTTTGTTGCTTCTAAAATTGATTAATAAGTCTACTTAAAATTGTTATCAAAGGGCTGTATTTAACATCGAAGTTAAAATTTAACTCAAGACTGATTTCAGCAAATGCCAATGAGCAAACAACTTTCAGTGGTGAGAGATGACCTGTGTTAAATGCACTAAACTGTAATCTACATGTCGGTGACAATTATTTCCCATACACCACTCAAGTAATTCCAGTTCAACTTCGCCATGAGCTTAATTGTTTGCGAATGACGTCTTTTGCTTAGACTTAAACCTTATAAGCAATGAGACTTTCAAACATTCACATTGACTTTGCGTATTACTGGAGTAGAAATTAGAAGCAAATACATTCATACTCTATTTCATCTAAGTGATGTCTAACGCGGATATCTTTGTGCGACTGGCCAACTGGTCATTTGTCCACCAATTCTCGATAAAACAGAGAATTATAGTATGATTCATTCCAACAGATCTACAAATACTAAAATTGTTAATGCTATAACTTAAATACAGGCAAAAATGTCAGCTTATCCAGGATTTAAGAAATTAGTTAGAACCAAGAATTTGCCCCATAGATAATACACAGGGCTTATTAGTAACAAATCGACGGTATTCCTGCTGTTTTTTTCGGCACCTTACTCAGGTTTAAGCTTCTTACAAAACGTATGAATATGTAATTGACAACCCTAAGTTACCATCTGAAGTTGCGTCCGTTTTCCACAGTTTTCCTATGAGCTTTCAAAGTAATATGTTAAAGCTGATCTCCATTTTTGCAATGAAAGTTTTCAATGAAGTGGTAAAACTTTGAAAAAAAAGTAGTAATATATTTTGTGTCATAATTTTGCTCTGCCTTTACGACACTCCGGCCATACTAGTAATTAATAATACATTTATTAAAGCATAATTTTATTTTTTACTATGAAGTTTTCTTAATGGGAGAAATGTACTATGTATAACATAATATTTGACTCAAGCTAAAATGAGGTGGCTCCGCACTAGAATAGATTTGTTTTAGTGGCGCTGGTAGTTTGAGTTCGGCTGTTGTTGCTCTGCTTACTATTTGTCAAAAATGACTGATAAGGAGCGCATTTTTTCGGAATTCTACTCAGAAGTTAAAATAATCGAAAAGAGGGATTCCACTTTGACACCAAAGCAGCAGATTGACCGACTCAACAGGCCAGGATGCACATATTTTAATCTTAACCCATTTGATGTATGTCTTTGGAGATTGTTTTATGTTTATGTACAGGTCCTGCAAATCGATCCTGAAGCGAAAATGTCAGACATAAAATCTAGATATCGCCAGGTAGACCGCGTGCATTTTAACCGTTTCTAGATGTCTCTACTTGTTCACCCAGATAAAAATCCAGATGACCCTGACCGAGCCCAAAAGGCATTTGATGGTAAGTTGACGTCTAATTAAAGCGCCACTTGTCCACTTTCCCTCTTTTTATAATTTTGCTGTTATTGTATTCACATAGCTGTCACCAAAGCTTACAAGACGCTTGAAAGCGCCGAAAGTTATCGGAAATGTCAAGAGGTAGTCCAGGAAGCCAAGGATCGAGTGGTTCAAATGGTAATATTTATTTATTCTTACTTCAGTTTGACAGGTATCGGAAAAAAGAATTCGAGCAAAGGGTCAAACTATAGATGAAGATGATCCAGCTAAGGCAAGGATTTTATAGTGATACTTAGTGTCCGTGTAGTACAGACATGCTGTATATGTGCAAACGTGCAAACTCTTTGCAGATTTAGAGCGCCTTCGCGTCGATGAGGAAACAAAGCAACAAAATGAGAGGTAAATCTCGTTTTTTGTGTTTATATCATGGCTCGATATATTAAATTCTGTTCGAGTATGTGTAAATAAAATGGCACCTGCGTTAATTTAATGTTTCCCTTTATATCCGGAAGGCATTCATTTTATATATTTCAGAGCTTTCTACTTGCCGTGCAGAATCCTGACTCTCTGGCATCGATAAAATAGTTCCACTAAGCTTGTAATGTTTTTGCAAGTGGTGGTTGAAATTTTTGGCTTTATCAGTGGATCTCCCATCTTATACACTCTATCACAGTTTTATTTTTCTAGTCCTTTCACGCAACCACCTTATTATCACCACCTTACTGATCGCAGCTTAATGTGTAATGTAATACCCATGGACTGCCATGTTGGGATAACTTTAAATGGTTGCTGTTAGTACCATGTGTGTAAATTTTTCCTTTAGCGCTTTAAAACGAGTGGTGTGTATGCGGCTAAATTAATGCCATAATCATTAAGCTGCCCTCTCTTTCGTTGTATCTGTGCAATTCAAGCGAAACTTTTAACATTTATGCAATTAGTTGTGTCTCGAGAGCTACTTGATGCCTTGATTCTGCGGACCATGTAGGTTGTTGCCTTCCGCTATGTGCATGGAAAGTCGGCTGCTGCCGTCGTATAAATTCGGGCACGATACTATCCAGTTAACTATCCAGTTAATCATCTATAGCTTCTGGTTCTACCACGATAATTTTGGGTACAAATGAATCTTTATTTATCCTACGTCGACCTAAGTGATTAAAACATAAAGACAGTTTACGATGGGTTTTCGATTATGTATTACGAACCATGAGCTGTTTGTGTTCACTGGTTACCAACCGAATGGTTTTTCATATTGGCTTCTTTCGGTTTTCATTGATTGTTGTGAGTGGGTTTGGAGTCTGGTTTTTAAGAAGTAACAATTTCGCGCCCACGATTTCCGGAAAAGTTTCTTTTCCAGTGCGTTTCATTCATTTGCGGCACGTGTTATTCATTTTTCCACCACAAAAATCTGGTGGAATCCAATGTTGTTGGGGTCGCAAGTGCTGTTTCAGCTGAATCCTTTTATTCTGGTCACATTTGACCAAGCAGACTTATTTCCACATTACAATTTAGTGGAATTAAACGTCTTGGAAGCAAGTTTTAAGGAATAACCGTGGTGCTTTTGGTGGTATATAATTTTTTTCGTTGTAGTTAGAGTGGTCACATATGGCGGCTTATTGTAAATAGCCTTCTTTCGTCATTTTATTAACAGCCTTATGTTTCTGAATGGTAATGTTAACAATTTTAAAGTATATCTAAAATATTTTTCACTGAAAACCACTTTTAATACAGTGACTGGCATGTCGACCTCAAAAATTGCACTACATTGGTTTCAGGAAAAGAAAGGCTGAAGAAGAAGAGATACATCGCTTCAGAGTGCAATACGATCGTGAATGGCGTGACAATTATGAAGTACGTTGTTATTAATGTTTGGGTAATCGATGTAGAGGCTTTAACGAGTGTTTGTCTAACGCTTCAGTACTATAAATATCAGAATATCTCGATTATGTGCGATTTGGCGAGCGAGTTTCTCTAGTCCATTGGTTTCATATCCCGGAAACTGAATTGGTGCTGACCTTCCTTATGGTCTAACATGGTGTATAAGTCGAATGCAGATACGTTGAACTCTGTTTAAATCACAACTCATGTTTAGGGTATCCTAATTGGGTTCTTTTCCTAAAGCAGCCAGTATATTCTGCATAAAACACTCCTTTTGTTAAACTAAGTTGTCTGGCCTGTTTCGCTGTATCTTTTCACTCTCACATTCTTTTAGGAAAGTCGGAAGGACCGGATTAAAAGCTGGCGAAGTTTCACCGCAAAAAAGGCCAAGAAAGGCGAAAGTCTGGGTGGCTTCAAGCCGCCTAAAACACGAATGGAGCAGCGCCCCACTTAACTACTTTACCACCTTGTTCTCACTTTTCAAGTCGTCTCAAAAGTTGTGTGTACATATGGATTTTTTGCGCTTGACTGCCACATTTAAATCAAATAAAGTCGCGTTTGGCGAACATCACTTGTTCAGGAGTTTTGGTGGTCAGTAATTTGATTCGAGCTCTAGTAAACCTGTGCCGTAACCGTGAAGAGTAGTATTTAGTCCATTCCTAATTCCAGGTGATCTCAAATGCCAATTTATTTTCTGCAGACCTGACATTATTCATTGTGCATCATGTAGCATGATGTGCGACTTGAAAGTTAAGAGTAAATTTCTGCACTTTAAAACATTTACAAAAATAGACCCAGTAGAGGTGGAGATCTCGAATGTTGGCTAAGCCTTTTTTCCCACCATTGTTGGAACACTTTGGAGTCACTTATTCACTAAACTTTTTGTGATTCTAAAAGGGTGCAAAGGATCAGATTTAGTTGCTGTTTGTCGCGAATACATCTGGTCTTTTTTCATCAGGCAACCCCAAAAGCCTCTTAATTGTTGTACTTAAAGTTCATTTCCGGTGTCTACTTTAATTGCTGACGTCGGTGTGGGAAGAGACTTTCCAGTCTAAATTAGTGTCTACTCATCAAGACAACTTACGATATAGGAAAGCGCATCTTAATTTGACTGCGAAGCTTCAGTTCTGCTCCGGAAACGTTAAAGCTACGCGCTTCATTGTAATTGAATCTTTTTAAAATCACTGAAGCTGTACACGAGTTTTACAGAATGAATGGGTGACAGATAACAGGCACTGCACGACCAAGCGAAAAGGAGTGGGTTGTTGCTATTTGAGTAACATGGTCGTGTGGCACACCGGTTTTGCGGATACCCTCTCACTGAACATCTGGTGATGCCGGTGGTGTTTTCAAATGCAGTTCAGCCGATAAGTCGGGGTCCCAAGTGATAACACGACGAGCAAGAGGATCAAACTTGCCGGCAACGAAGTAGGCTGGTAGTGCCTCGTCAGAGCCCGAGTCATTGCCACTGCTTCCGGAGAGGGAGGTCAGGTCATCATCAGGGAGCAAGACCTAAAAGCAGTCAGTTGAAATGGGCGCACATTGCGATTTCTGCTTCGTCCTTTAAGATGATAGCTTCGGCTCGTTTACTTAATGCAAGTTGTTTGGCAGTGAAAATCTGTCTACTCGAAAGGAAACCTTGCATACTTAGCTGAAATTTAGTCCGAACGTTTCTAATAAACACTAAACCACGCGGTATTGAGCTAAAATACCGGACATTTGTAGATTCCTTAACAAGTCGTTTTGGAGGCTATGCCACCAAATATTACTGAATGCGTCCCCATGTAAATTTACCAATCATAAGTCATTACCCATTGCTGAACTTCATTCCATCGTTGTACTTAATTTCTCTTAAAAAGTGAATGGCGGAAATGCCCAAATACTTAGCACTCCGCTTGCTCATTATTTCAAGTTAGCAAGTTTTTTTTTTGAAATATAGCCCACGTGTTTAAAGGCGGAATAGGGCCCTTTAAAGGGAAAGCTTTGTAGCGAACCCACAACTTACATTTTACGTGTAATCTTGTAACCATGGAAAAAAGCTATCAAAATAGACAAATACCTGTCTGTCCGAAGCATGGCATTCTTTGTTCTCATCCTTCAAGCTACTTGATTCATTGATTCTTTGCCTGGCTAATCGGAACTCAGAATAGTTGCGTGCTATTTGAACCCGACCAATGATGCAATTGGCTTCATTGTCATCCACGTGATCGGTCAGGAAAACAGCGCCTTCGCAACCGGCCACTCTCTTTCCGTCCTCCCCAGCCTCTTGGGGGCAGTAGAACCTGGAAAAGTTTGATATTTTAATCGAGTGATGTAGGGGATGATCTTAGTTCTCAGCGCTTTCAAATGATTCTCAGATGTTTTCAGATACTCCTCAACCCTAATCAACTCACTAACTACTAGGACACAATAAGTTCTCAAATCCACACTTGCGATGATATTCGTAAACGAGACCAGCTAGGGGCTTGAAAGTAATCACTGATTAAAAATTATCAATTAAACAAGCAATCATTGTTGATTTTCGTAGTGAATGAGCGCCGAATTCGGATACGATAAATGACTGTTCTACGGATAAAGTGATAGGTCGAACAATACGTGGGACCATGGGCTACTGTGTAAAATTAAATCTATGTAAAATAACTGTGAGAAAAAAAGTTAGGCCTGAAGAAATGTACCTAGTTAGTTTTATAATATTCTTATGCCGTTTCAAAGTGTCGAAATGGATTTTGGCCCTAAATGTAGGCCGCCAGTGAAGTTAGTAAATATGAGCATTATTGTCATCTTTTCCGGTGAACCCACTTTCCTAAAATCGCTGTACACGTGGAGCGACGGAGTCGCATGCACTAACCCCTTCCTCATTGATTATTCGTGAACCGGTTCAGCTAGGATTCGGCGAAGTCAGTAAACCTGGCAGGCCGTTTCTTACTCTGGGGACCAATTGCCAATCTTAGCTAATGTACTGGTTGGCTTTTTCTGCTAAATTGATATGCTTGAAAATAAAACAGCACAATGTTGGCTTACCACGAGGCGTATACGAGCGGAGAAAGTTCGCCATGCCGAGGTACACAGATCAATTTCACTTCACCCAGGTAGGCTTGTCCGTTTCCACCGGAATTGAATTTTACAACATCACCAAGTGTCACGATAAGGCCATCCTTGTTTCTCTTTAATGATTTATAACACGGCATTCCGTTGTGTTTCCTTCGTAGCTAGAACAAAGACGTACATCTCGATTGTGACGATTTCCTTACAACCACAAATAATCTGCTGCCCCATACTTAATTTGCTCGACGTTTAGCAACCTCAGTCTTGCGACATCTTAAAAGTACTGCAATAGTAGACCTATACCATCTGATATTTACACTTGTAGGAGATTTTGGCTTAAAGGAGCCTTTCTTAGGTAAGTTGGCTATGTTAGTATTACTATATCATTTTCAAAATAAGGTCAACTGTGGTAATTATCAGTGTAATACCTTTCCACGAGGCTTCCAGATAATTTCAAGCGGTTCTTTCACGTTCTGGATACTTTCTTTGCGCTCTTGCCAATCCCCTAACCAGTCGTTTTCTATAAAAGTAAAAAATAAAGCTTACTTACAAACCAAAAGCAAACCACCTACAAAGACTTGGCAAGTGTACCAGATCACATTTACGTGTCGCGGAAACTGTAGGAGTGAATCGATGCACTTTTGAGACCTTTATAGCCTGTAGTCTGCCTCCGTTGATGAAATCTGTGACTGAAATGTTAATTCCATAATCTCGTGAAATATTTAAGCCAAATTAACTGAACATCTCCACGAAGTTAAAACCTTCGATTTCCCGCCAATCACCCGTGAATCAAGACTTATATGTGATTCATCCGAGTGTACGTTTTGACACAATCAGCATGGAGTTGATTAATTCAAAAACAACGATCAGTGGTGTGGCTTTGAAATATTTAAGAAAAGCATGCCTCGGATAGGCGGGGATGGCTCTGTGGAGGTCGAACCGCCTCCATTAGCAAGATGAAGCCTTTTCGAGGTCGACTCCCTTCTTTTGACTTTTATCGACGCGGGGTAGACAGGCGACGAATGCACCTGCTGCGCAACCCCAAATATTGTCGGACTTGTGGCTGGCTTGACACCCGGATTGGAATTAGCTGTCGTGGCTCCAACCAATTCCGTGAGGTTTGCAAAATGATCCGGGAGCATTCGGATTCGGTGCAGAGGCACTTCCGCATGGTCCCCATCGTCGAAGTCTATTGGCAGGCACCCCTTCGCTAGCGGTGGCCTGTTTGCATTGGCTAAAGCAAAAAATATGTGCGTAAATAAGATAAACGCGCTAAGCAGCATTATTTGTGACTGGTGTCTTCAATTATTCTACAAGCAATTCTTTTTATGCCTCAAACTTTTTGTAGGAATGGAAGTTAGGACTCATAAACAGAGATATTCTATAAATCATTTCAACAAAGTTTAGATCGATAACCTGTATTGAATTCAAATCTCGATTTCAACTATATATGTAGGACCCTCAAGCAAGCAGCTGCCTCGAAACAAAAGTTGGTGAAGGCTGCCTCAATAGAGCAGGTGATAAGGGACTGGACCAAGCATTCCGAGAGGAACTTCTTGCTGCCATCGATTCAGTGACTGTCAGAATTCGTCCACATGACCTGTCTAGTGGTGCAATTAACATCCTTTCCAAGTGCTGCACAAAATACACTGGAAGTCTGGTGATCCTTTACTGGTCACATATTCCGGGTTGAAACCGAGGAACAATCATCGTAGTCTGGCTTGATGTCACGCAGCCCGTGCCGAAGGAACCAAATTGCATTTCTCTACATGCATCGTCGGAATACTGACAGCCAAACAATGGTTTCATAGCTTAAGTCTTCAACCCCTCAATCATCTGAACTTATGGTCTATGAATTCCAAAAAAAGTCCTTTTTCACCTTGACGCCTCCTCCTTGTCACTGGCTACCCGACTTTTTTCAATATCCGCAGAACTAGGCTGACAGTTAAACTCACAAGATTGACAAAATCTTCTACATTGTTGCTAAATTTTTTATTATTTACCACGGGATCCCACCTGCGCCACACTTAGAGATAGGTCAATATCAAAGGCATCGAGGCATGATACCTTCCATCATATCAGACCAACGGGCAGCAAAACTTCAGGAGTCCCTAAGAACTTCCTTTTTCGGAAAACCTTATCGATTCCTCCTGTAATTCACTAATTTTCTATTCAATAGACTGAGGTAGTCTCTAGTGGATGGCATTACAGAGGCTGAATAGAATTCCGAATTCGATCATTGTCCCACTCGCCGTCACATTCTATTAAATGGCTTCACGAGTGTACGGTTATAGTGATCAATCTCGTCAGTCTCTAGAATTCTTAGTAGCATGTCTGGAGATGCAGATGTACAGATTCATCTGATAATTAATATCTTTTACTGTACTGTGGATAAAAGCGTAAACTATAGTTGTGAAGTGGTACAGCGCAACAAGGTTGTTACTTGGTCCAGTCATTAACTGAGAGTAAAAAACATACCCTCAGATATAAAACCTGGATACAGGTTATTAGCTAGCGTACTGCTCCAAGCCGCACAAACACGTGTGCCTGGAGGAAGTTGCCTAGGCGATGCAGGAACGACTTCGAGAACTGCCTGTTGAATAACCTGCCAGGCTTCAAGACGAATCTCACCCAATCTTCGACGCTTTCCGCTAGAAGCGAGAAAATTGGGGTTGAGTCTTGGAAGGGAGGTCGGTGTCGGGGGCGACTCGACTTTTTCCATCTGGTCCAGCCGAATAAGGCAGCCACGTGTGCGTGAGATCTCGCAGCTGTTTAGCTTGGAGGAATATGGCAACGAGGTGTCTTCTGAAATACACAATTGTGAGCCGGTCTGTTCACTGCTTCTGTATCCATTTTTTGATTTTGGCAATTTAGATGGTTGCCAAATTTAAGTGTCTTACCCACCGCTAGCTCTCGTGCACGAGGCCAAAGGAAACTTCGGATATAGATTAAGTGCTGATCAGTCCAACACGCCCACTACTTTTAAAAGAGAAGTTAGATTTAGAATGTCAGCCAAACGGCTCCCGATTACTTATTTGTGGAGGGTTAAAATAAGACACGCGTCCAACATAGATTTTGTGTGTTTAAAAGCATTCATTAATGAACATCTAGCGTCCACTCAGGTAATTAGCAATAAAATTTGTTTTCTCGTAAATCCTGGGGCCTTAATTTATTTAACCAATATTTTTAAAAAAATATTTCCTGTGACCTTGAAAAAGGCTCAAGGCCATCAAAACAAGTCTACAGGATGGGTCTGGTAACGTTTATACCACAGCTGGTGATTGATCAGGTTATGTCATGCGACCTGCTGAATTAGCGTGAAAGTTTTAACCTGGTTATGGCACAAGGTGTTTCAGTATAGAGGATCAAAGTAAAAATCAGACAATTTTATCACAGTGAGCGGAATTAAAAACAGGACCATAACGTAATTCACGTGGGGTATTCTATAATGAAGAGCGCTTCGCAATTGGGCTTGCTCCGCAGGGAACGCACTGCTGATTAAATTGGTTCAAACTGAAGACGTCCCATTGGACAAGCGTTTAACGTGTCGCAAAGTACCCTCAAGAGAACAAAATTTGTCATACAATTTGAAATTAGATTAAGAGTGTGTTTATTGAAAGTAGCTTTTAAATGTACTTATATTTTTGGTGAAATGCTTCCAAGCTGGACTAGTTTTGGATGAGCACTAATCCGGGTTTGGTGAATATTTAAACGGTGATCACAACAAACCTTAGGTGTGACCTTGGTGCTAATCAAAAGAAGAGCCAAAAACTTCATTAAAGGATGCGGTCTTGTAGCACAAAATAGCGTAGGATGCGATTCACCCTAAAGTAATCCCTATTCTGGCGTCACTGCCTTCTCAATCGCGGTTGAATCCAAAAACGCACTACTTTTAATAATTATCTATTAAGGTTGAAGATCAACAATTTTGCATGATGGAAGACTTAGCTCTTCCCGTCTAAATTAAGTTACAAGTCACATAAACAGTGTAGCGATTTGGACACCCTAAAATTGGAGGTTTAGCAACATACTTGTGACAACCTTATCAGGACGGGAACCTCTTAGGTGTAGAACAATTTTCCCTTGTAAGGGTCTACCTCATTAAAGTTATCCTTACCAAAGTGCAGATGTTACATTACATTAACTTTGACGTATGAAGAAGAGCGGAAATTTGTGTAATGTAAGGACATTCTCTTATCCAATCACCTTTTCACAATAGCGAAGGATTTGTTGGAGGTGAGTCATCACCAATAATCACAAGTGTTTGAGCATGGTCAATTGAATATGTAGAGGAGAGCCCTAATTGGCTGAAACAGATTTCAAAAACACGTCGATCCTTTTACTCAGTTGCCCATTTGATGAGTTTGGTAGGACTGCCTCACAAGTAATTAAGTTGTTTGCATAAGTAGTAAGTGCGTCATTTTCCTGGCTGTCTCCACCTGATCTATTAACCTTGGCGATGGCCTGCGATTGGACTTAATAGTTTGGCTGCTTCAAATAACACGCTTTTTTGAACTACAAAGTGTATCCTATTGCAATGTTCTTTCATAGTTCGAAACGCTTGCAATTAATAAGGAACGGCTAGAGGAGGCCCACTCAAGCTGTATTTATTTTTAACATAATCTAGTTTCAGGGAGGGCCCTAAGTATACTTAAAATAGGCTTATTGACTATAGTGATTTTAATTTCGTAAGGAAATGCAAAAAAAATTATATGCATTGCTGAGCTGGATGCGAAGAAGAAGCATTTGGGTTGGTTGAAACAATTTGGGTGTAGTAATCTGACACTAACATAGGTTCACAGCTTAAATACACAGAAATTCGAGCGCAGTGAAGAAGACTACTGGGTCAGACACTAAGCCCAGTAGTGACAAGCTAAACTACATACTCGTCAGTTGGTCATGCTACTTATTAAATAGCAATTTAGTTTCAGCCGTAAGGTAAAATTCCCAATACACAGCTTAGGGAAGCCATTCCTAACGTTTAAACATCTAAAAAAGGCCAGCTTTCCTTACCGAAGTAGAGGGTGCCGGCTCGCAGATGCGTATCTTCGACAATAAGAATTCGCAGTCCGTCAGAGAGATCTGTAAGATCAAGGTCGATGCGGCGAAGGTCGGGAGTAGGAGGCCTTTGAAGTTCATCCCCTTCTGCATCTTCCTCGTCAATGCCTGCACTATGCCATACTGGCGGGACTATCAGATGATTGGATGAATTCTGACGCTGTCGTTGATGTGGTTGCCTTTGTTGCCGATGGTGGGGGGAGACTGACGTGTCAATGGTTGCTAATGACGATGTGGAAGGGGAAACGGATGCAGTTGTCTGCAAGGAAATTGAGTATGTTGTCATCTGCACACATATTACACCCAAGAAAATGCTTACTCCCTATGCACTTTTTTTATTACTTTTTATATTAATTTGTAGATTACCCACACGAGGAGTCAGTAGGGAGTAATATACGGGTTTTTCTGACGTCGAAAATCGAGTAATGTTTAATGACGTTATTGCTAGATAGTTATAAAAACAGAAACTTCACATAATGTGCTTTTTACGTTAAACTCAAATGGCTCAAAGTATTTTCTCCTGTCAAGATTTACGATTTCTGGAAACAAGTACAGTTTTTAAACCCTTTGGACATTTAATGTATGAATCGATATGTGAAAGCTCTGCATTTAGAAAAGAGATCAATCACTAGAACTATCACTAATTAAGATAGCTTCGACCTTTATTATTAGACTGCAGTTTGAAATTCCATTAGCCTTGACTGACAAAAAGCATCATTTTCTGTGAGTTTTTTTGCATAACAGGTTTTGAAACCCATGACATTGTCGCAAATAATGACAACTTATGGAAATGTAAAAACGCGAGACTACTTTATCATGTGTAAATTCAGTGTGTCAGCATTTGCGTAGATGCGATCACATGACAAACTAAAATGTTCAAGAATTTCGTCCATATTTCAGATACCTTGTTAGAGTGAAGTCCAGTGAGGCCACCGAAGTCTGTCCCGTCTTCGGAAGGCGAGTTCACGTGGACATTCAGCGGTTCGTGCAACCGAAGTGTAGGCGCGGGCTCATCCACAGTGGCTCTCAGTGAATCGATCGAGTCGGAGTGTTGATGGAATTGACTACTACCACGGGAATTACGATCAGGCTGATGATATCTTTCTGTACGAGAGGAAACTGATAACATCTTAGATCTTATCAAGTCTACTATGTTAAATATTAGCTTTGAGTGTGATTTAGATTTCAAACTTCCGGTTTATCGATGAACGAACGCTACTTAAGACAAATAAGTAAAATCCACTCTAACTCCAAGGCCAAATTTTTGGGCGATTTTTAATTAAAAACCTCAGTTTTAACTGCAGGCAAATTAACACATCAGTGTTTACCTATATCTATTTGGTGGTAAACATACTGGTTCCATTAACTGAGTTAGAAGATTAGGGCATTTTGTGTGTTAAACTGGAAATAAAAGGCTTAATTGTCATTCTATTGATGGGTAGCTGGTAGAAACACATTTACGTGATTTGCAAAATCATTAATTTAAAGAAAAAGTACAGTGAATTCGGACCAAATGTTTCGATGGTCAGGTGGAGGTAAATTAAGGAGAGTGGTACGAGGGTGAGTGTGCGAGAAGCGCAATCCATTTGGTTCAGCAGCTTAAAAATTACAAGAACTAAGTAAAATCAACTGAATGATGGAGTCATAAAATCAAGAGAGATCAGCATTGACTTCTACACGCTCGTTGAGATAAAGCATTTAGTACTAAAACAAACAAAGCCGCTTACGGCAGGCTTCGGAGTGTCTTCGTTTTGGGGTCCAGGTTCGGGAGGTGAGGGGTCTTTTCGATTTCGGTGACTGCTTCTGTCTGTCGGTGGGTGGCGATCTGGCTGGAGGGGGACGTTTCGGGAAACTGAATGAGCGCGTCCGCTTTGAGCCTGGTCTAATTGGAGGTGGTGGTGGTGGTGGTGGTGGTGGTGGTGGCGAACTCGTCCAAGTGAGTGGTCCAGAGTCCGAAAGCTGCAGGAGTGATGAAATAACCATCGATTACGAACGTTTCCTAGTGTCTGGGATTACTCCCCAATTGGTAGTTAGCTAGGTGCGTGTGAATACGTATTTGAGTGTCAATGACAAACAAAATTACCGCGGTGTATGACTGATTCAAATCCTGGACTCTCGAGGTTTTTTCAATTAAAGAATATTAGTTAGTTGGCTTAGGATGGCCTTCCTGACAGCAATTAATGAGCGCCTGGGTGAAAACCAAGACACAATAAAAAGCGACATTTGAGGCACTAATCATGCTTCTCTGTTCTGGGGACTGTGAGAAACGTGATCATAAAAATAAAGTTTTCCTGAGTTATAAAAGTAGTTTAAAATCAACAATAAGTGTTGGTTTGAAAACTAAATGATTGCGATAAGGCTATGCACATGGATGGATTGAAAACTGGGAATACGGTTCTCCGCCGCTTATCTCATTTTTTTCATCAAAACCACCTGAGAAAGTGTTCACTTTTCAATGGGGTGACAAAAGCTCTACTCCAGTATGGCAAAAGTTTAGTTGCCGTTTTCTTAATAAAGTGATGAAAATGGTGGATGCGCACGTGAAAACACACTCTACTGAAGTTATGAGCCCATCTTCATGTGATGGCAATTTTTACGCATTTAGAGCTATTATTCTAATGGTATTCATATTCTTCTACGGAGGCTGACGTCCAATCGCATGAAAACTCTGTCAATTCTGGAGTCATTAATAAAAGCGCCATTCTTTTTTGTCACGTTTCGTCAATAAAATTAACAGACTACCTCGTCTGACATCAAAACCCCGGGGAAGGGGTGACAAGTGTGAAGAGGAAGCATGACAACGAGAATCATTGAGAGTTAAGTTGGATTTGGAGAAAATTAACCAACGGAGTGAGCTTAAGTCGATTAAAGTCAACGGACCTCGGGTACACGATGAGGTGGAGCTCTTAGTTTCGTTTAATATGGTAAGTTAAAAAATGTACTAGGTCCGTTTCAAAATGCTGTGTTGCCTCTCAATTATATATAAAAATTCATAACAGAACTACGATAGCACATAAGGTCGGTTCCCTGTAACTCTACCCTTTCCGAAATCCAATATCGGCTCTTATTGCTGTCGATGAAAACTCTATCAAACAGCAAATAGGAGTCCACCTGGGAATGGACGCATTGTATATAAAAAACTGAAAGTTGTTGCCTTAATAATGTCTGGCTACAGTAACCCTAGAGCGGCTTTAATAAATACCACTACGACATTAAGGGGCCTGAGTATTTAATCAGTCAATTTATCCTAAATTAACACTTCACAATTTGGTAACTGAAAGTGGGTGATGCTCGCGTTTCATACAAATCTCTAAGGCAAGCCGAATGGACTTGCCTGATACGCATAGGGCATCACGTGACAATGATAGGTGGAAAGCTGGTCAAATGAAGGTTGAAGTTTATAACAGAATGATATTTTTAATTTAAGCATGAAAAAAACAGAAACGCAATAATAACCACATTTAGCATTCCGATTTTTCTCTAGAAATACGGGAATATCTAGAGAGTGAGACACGAACAGGCCATTTAAGTCGGTTACGAAGCCTGTCGCTCGTTACCGATTACGCTTCTGAAAGCTCAGGGCGACACTAACACTGGCTTTAAGTATTTCGTGCCGACTTAGAACAAACCGATATTGCAATCCTGATAATACCTTTTGATGCATAGTTCAACGTTGCGATAATTTGGTGACGTAGTCTTGTGACGTTTGACGTAATTCGCTGACCAAACATTTTAAAAACGCACATCAAACCAAGAACTCACAATCATTAAACTCTTGCAAAACGACCCAAGGATCATTTGCTGTAGTACTCATTCCAACATAAAGAAAGAAGAATGAAGTACGAATGTAAGTAAATGACGAAAGCCATCTTCGGAAAGCAGGTTCAATGAAGAAATTAGACGCAAAGGGACAAAACTGGTTTTAGCTTTTAACATCCTTGCCGAGTTCCCTATGAGCTCAAATGGACAGAAGCTTCCTGTAGGATGGCCAAGACAAAGTTTTCAGTTTCGTCTGATTAAGGTAGTTGATAGGTGCTTACTAAGTCAAAGACTCATGATGTCTTTGGATCGAGGGAAAAATCGGTACACCTATCCCAGGCTGAACATTAGCAACATTCCCTTCAGTTATCGAGATAACTTACAAAATACAATTTACCAGTGATATTCGTTTTCAATTACGAATCATACATAACTAGTGAAAGCACAGAACCTCCACCCCGTCAAAATTGGCGCTTAAGCATTAGTGAAGAAAATGCATTTATCGGAATGAAAAAAGGAAGTGATGTGCCTGGAAACGTATGGAGAGAAGGCGTGTGCATGCAAGAGACACTGTAATATAACTTGTTCCTTAGCTTTGTATGACTGCGGTCGACAGGGAACGGGCATGAGTTCTTTTGGCTTTTGAGAACGAGCATCTTTGTTCAAAATAATGGAATTACGTCCAATGTGTCGTAATTCAGACAAGTCGTTTTTGCCCATTGGTTGGTGGCTTTGCAGATAGTCATCAAACGACGAGGAAACAGGTGCATGGTGTTATTTGCTTCAAGAAGGCCAAGGAACCTTTCCCATAGGACGCCTGTGCGTAGGCGGTGCACTAGTATTCTGTTGCAACAAATACGTAGTCGCTATTTGAACATGCATTGCGTTCGCGAAGACAAATCAGATAACCGGTAATTTTGGTAGGAAAGCTTCAGATTTTTGCAAAACAAAAAGGTTTGCGTGTTGCAATTTCAGAAACATTAAAATTGAGCATCACCGACCTTCCAATTAAGAATCTCGCGAAAGTGGGGCTTGTTGATAAATAAGCTTAAATTGGTAAAAGATGGCTCCAACCTACCGGGTATATTGTTGTCGGGTCTAGAAAGCTCTCTGTATCGACACTAAGAGGGGACTGCGAATAATCCGTGGAAGGAAGCTCGGTCTGTTTTGTCTCACTTCCCTTCTGGTCAAAGACAAAACTGAGGAGAGAGAGAGAGCACGTGTTGGGATCAGAATACGAGTTTAATAGTTGTTGCGTTCGTTGTGACTGAACAGCTCGTGGTATTGCAATTCCGTCGACAGATCCCCTTCGTGACCTGATCCGTTGGAGCTGTCGTAGCTAGAAAATTAACAAACTTTTTGTAAAATAGGAAAATTACAAGGCTCTGGGGAGAGTACTGGCACAATAGGCACCAGAGAGAACGAGCGAAGCTGCAAAATCGCTAAACCTCAATTTTCTCTCCACAGCCAAACTATTTCAGTTTATTTGGTACCGCATCGCGATTGCAAAAAAGTCATGGCATAGAACCTGGTTAAGGGGTCGGAAACCAAATTTTAAAAGTGTCTATTCAGCAAAGGTCTTTTCCGTTATTTGGGGTAAATTAAGGTGAAAACAAAGTCGACACAAAATTAAATGTGGTGGGAGTGGAGCAAAATGCATTTTGTAGGTGAAGTTTATTTTTGCAAGCATAAAGTAACATGTTACGGCTGAGATGCAAGTCGAACCATATCTTTGAGCTTACTTTGCATTCAGTTGGCAAATGTACCGATGAGGTTTAGCAAAAAGTGCACAAAACACCAGACTATTGGTGTTATCACTTTAAGAAAAAATGATGCATTAGCAGGGAGACACAATTTACTTAAAACTGACCATTTCTAAGCTCACCCAAATTGTTAGTTTTATCATAGAAAAAGAGACGACTAGGGTTTGCACCGAATAATTGTTCAGTCGTGGGTCTTATTACAGCCTTGTTGGAGTTTAGTGACGTCTTCGAGCAATGATTCAATTCAATGACTCTTTACAGTGAAAAAAGGCACTAAAAGCTTCGTGTTTGCAAACTCAACTTTCTTGAGCCAAATGAACGAAGTTAATTCTAGCCCAGAGCAATTCAATCATTTAGTCATAGGACGAGCGATATTAAATCGGACCTGCTGCAGAGAAATCAGTTGCTTCTAAATTGTAAATGTGAGCAAATAGTGGTTGTCCTGCATAAACGCGAAGCTAATAAATATCAACTTAGGTGTGAACTTATATTTTGTATACGTGACTCATTCAACGATCAACGCATGATGCGCAGGCCAAAATTGGTGAGTGGTGATTCACCTTTGACACGCATGTACTGTACACATTAACACGAAGGAGAACCTAGACGGAACTGGAAGTGTGATGTGTGAGAATCATAGAGCCATCTAGCGCAATAAGTCTAATTTTGCATGTTATTTATACATATTATTTAGGGCAGAATGGTACCGTGGATTCATTGAGACGTCTGAAGGTGATTGTTATTTATTAAATTGGGAACCGGTCAGGTCATTAACGAGACGCTTTGTGTAAACCGCACAATCACAGGTCCGAAAATCGGATCTATTTCGTAACTTTGCTAGAGGCGTAAGCCACGTACTTGAAGCTGGTTTCATTTCACAGCTTTCAACATGGTTCCAATCATTATTGGTATGCTAACCAGATAAGAATCGTTATCTAAAGATTCATTATCAGTTGGCACAGTGACTAGTTACCTCAGTCAACCGTGGGTAGTGTCGGGTATGGATTTTTACTAAAGTGATACTACAGTGTATAAACAAATTTACTGACAGGAATTTTCAAACATGAGAGCAAATTTACGCAGTTTTCTTTGCATGAGATTTGTGACACGCTAAAGGCAGGATCGTAAAAATTACATCATCCACTGAAACATTTATGAGGTCCGCAATTAAGCCATTGCTATATTGTTACTCCGTCTTAGTGTCAACACCTATATAAGCTGATATTTTGAAGCCAAGATGCACTGTGAATAAATTACATTTACGACGTTGACGCAACATTTTGAGATGGTTAACAAAATGATCACCAGGTTTATGACACCGAATCTCATAAATCCCTATATTTTTCGCTTTCGCTTCATATAGTTAGTTTAATATTATACCTTTGTACTCTTTTCTGTTACCAGTATAGGTATTTGGAGACGAATTTACCAATAAATGTTGCTATCTTTATTCTCTAAATCACTTACCATCTTCTGCTCTCACCAATAAAACCGAATTTTGACTTCCGTAAATGTTTCGATTTTTATTGTCATTGCAAAGTTACGAAGACTTTAAGTCGCTTTAACAACGACATCATTCCAATTCAGGCCATTCACGTGTTAGGAAGCCACAACATGCATCCATCAGTAAAATGATGGACGGGACCACTATATAAGGAAACGAAAATGAAGCCCAAAGTCTGTACTTTGTCTGTTCCATGAAGCAGGTCATTCATCAAACCAAGAAACAAAACGATCACGAAGCTCGAGGGTCCAACTTCCGTCGCATTTAAACAAACGAGCTATTTTAAGGACAATCAATAAAAACTGCCTACTGTAATGTTTTTTACTCACATTCACTTAACGTCAATTGCCTTTCTAGGCAGCGTAAAGGAGAGCTTAGAATTTATTTTTCCTACGAATTATTTGAAGTTAATTTTTCCTAGCAATAATGCTTAAGGACTTGCAGGCATTTAGGAATTTCTTGCAACCAAATTGCTACAGTGCTGCGTGCTGCTTTTCTGCATCGGCCCACAATTTGAATGCTTCAAAATGATTTAGCACTGGCTCGAAATAAGAAAGAACACCTGATTTTTAGTATTGAATGAGAGCCTATTTAAAGTCAAAAGTAATCTAGACACGGTTGCTGCGGAGAATGGGCAAAAATTGCATCATTTTTCTACAAATCACTTGCCAAAACACCGGTTCAAATTTATTACGCTAGCAATCAGGTTGGCTTCAAACGGCTTGCGCGGAATTTGTTTTTAAAAGTTGCATATAAATATCGATGGTGATGTAGAAAAATTTTGGGTTTGAGGTTACAAACCACAAGGCCAATTTCAAGAAAATAAGTGAAATGAAACATCTTTAAAGGTATATTCGGCAAGAATTATGACAAGTGCTGTTCCAATAAACGAAATTTGCAATGAAATTTTCATTTATGTAGTAACTGGAAATCTTAAGTCTAAAAAGTAAATAGCTCTTAAAACCTTAAAAATTCCAAGTGTTTCATGATTTTTTTTCTTACAACTTCGATTCAGTAAACACCGACACCAGTTCCGTGCACATCCAGAATGATAAGTTTCATAAAATAAAGCGGTGAGCCCATGTGCCGAGATTGCGTGACGCATACACGTCTTTCAAATGAGAGTGCTTAGTCACCCCATTCAGAGCACTTCTCCCAGCTCAGCATTTTCATTTTTCTCCGCACACAAGGTAATATGAGTTTAACAAAGTCTAATTTTGGATCGAAGTTAAAATGAAGAACGATTTTGTAAAAACAAGTTATTCAAGTTTACAGGTAAAAAAAATCACCTTGCGTTTGTTTCGACCGATGGCCGACGCGAGGCTGTTGCATCGTTCGGCGAGCCGTCTGGTTTGCGGTGTGGGAGCCCGAATAGACTCCAGAGCCTGCGGTTCCGGCAGGCAAAGGAGGTGTCGGAAGACTGGAGAAAATGATGAATCAGGCAGGGGTGCTGCTGTCCCGGTTGGTAAGCTTGTGCACAGTCTCCTCGGATCCACAGTTTCTACTGTGTTTTCTGGAGTTGTGCCGAGATCTGCCGGGCCAGCAAGAAGATTCAACATTGTATTCAAAAATTTCTCGGCTTCCTGCATTGATTTTTCTACTTGGTCAAACTGGGCGGCATTCACAAGGGAAGAAAGGGGGTACGCAGGATCAACTGTCAGGGGCTTGGTTGAGAGGTCCAGGGGGTCACTAGGTTCAGTTGATATTGAAACTATAAGCAAAAAATGCGCATTTCGGAACTAGTTGATTATGACTATATCTGAACAGGAAAGGCTGATAGAAGAAGTAAATATAAGGTAACTAGTTGAATAAAGTGTCAGCTTGGAAAAGAGTAACTGCTTCAAAATGTTGCCCACATTGTCTCAGACTCCACACAACATTAACGTCAAATAATGAAAATAAATAAATGTCGGAATTCCTTATAGATAAAATCGTCTGGATATGCTAGGCTTATGCCACCCTAAACAAAATATTGGATAGACTTAAAGTTTTGCCACAGTATTCAGGGTAAAATATAGACAAGTAGTTATCGACTATAAGAGTATAACACATTACTGTGTTTCCTAACATTAGAGGTTTTAGTGGAGTAGCATTATTTACCTGGTTTGGGCGAATCGGACTCCATTTGAACAAATCCTTCTGGGGTCACCAAAGTCTCGCGGTATGTTGCATCTGGGCGTTGTCCTGAGCTCTCCGTCGGCAATTTCACACCGGGTGAATTGAAAGACGAGTAATTTTCAAGAAGCTGACTCCCTTGCTTTGCAAAGTCGACGAGAGTGGGAGAAGTTGCTGTTTCAGCCGACAATCCGTCCACCATGTCTCCACAACAATGCATGGCCAAGCTGTCCATTAGTCTGACACCAAAATAATGCAAACCGGCAATCAACGTACTCAAAATACTATTTTACGACAGGCATCGACATTGTTAAAAGTGGCCAGTGGTAGTTGACCAAAGGTTCATACACTTGGGAGCTTTAACTCCGGATACCTTGAACGTTGGACCATGATAAACGGGGAACGTGCCTAGCATCTTTCTATTGAATGAAAATCTAGTAACCACTAGTGTTAAAACGGGATCTACAAGAAGGCATTTTATTAATTCTAGGTTAAGATCCAAGAGCATGAAAAATTTAGCCGAAAAACCAACCACCATTAGCGATCACTTTAGCCGCTAAATTCCTTGCCATTACTTCAGAAGTAAACAGACATGATCTAAATGCTCACTGACCTAAAGTGAAAGGTAACAACTTTTTGGCGCACTGGTTCACTCAAGCATGGCAAATTTCTGGTGCTAAAATCCAGGTCCCTTACGAAGAAGCAGACTTACATGGCATCCATAATGAACGAGCACATTTATCAAGAGTAACGTATTGTGTTTGCGTAAATATGACCACAATAAATATTAATTTTTTTAGAAATTGACGTTGTCAGAATAATTAATTTTTGACAAGGTGACTGTCTTTATTTGCAATACCTAGATGGTCGAAATTGTCAAGATTCAGCGGTGCAAAAATGATTAAATGCAGCTACCACTATTCCGCTGAAGCCCACATGGTCTTCTCAATCATACAGCAGATCTAGTGAGTTCTGTCATGCATCTGAAGTACCAAACCAGCGTGATTTAATGTCACAAACTTTCGTCTCCAGATCATTAACCGCGTTTTGCTTATGGTTCCTGATTGTGACATAGGCAAGATGGGCTGATTCAGTTCTAGTTTCAAACAAGAAAATCTGTTGTTGACAGTTAGAGGCTTCTATACTCGATTTACTTCATATTATGGCACAAAAGCGTTTATCCTGGCATGTTGGTCAGCACTTGGATTGACAACACAGAGTTAGCCTTAATCTTGAAATTTATTATAAAGTGACAGGTGAATTTTGAGCATAAAATAGAAGCATTTTAATGTTTGTTGTTTAAATTAAGCTAGAGGTATTGATTCAAATCCTGATACTTACATTTGTCAGATTGTCTTAAGCCTATGCATTTCGCCCCAGTTACGCAATCGGATGTAGGCAAGAGCTACTTTAATTTCTTTTGGCGTCGATCAGAACAAGCAACAAGACGAAAGGGAGACATTTTGTTTGCTGTTCACTGCTCTCATTAAAGAAATGCCATGCGTTTGCATAACTTTTTCACTTACAGACGTGAAGTATTTAGGCATAAACCCAAGCATGCAGTGTGTTGCCATAGTCACAGCATAAAAACTCATCCACTGATATAATATCCCAATTCGAAACAACGAATTGTTTTGAGTATACATCCTAGAAACTAGCCAGTGTATTGCTTGACACTCGAGTGAATATTCCCTACGCCCTTAGGCGCGTTTATGTGAAATCTGGTGTTGTTTGTGACCTTGAAATTAGAGAGCAAGGCAGTCGCAGCAACCCATCATCCTATCCACTATGCTATATACTTGTTTAAGACCGATGTCTTATATATTGCTACGTGTCCGTGCAAATTACTAAGAGCGAATATCGGTACTTCTAGATTTTCACGACTTGCGCTCCACAAATGGACTTGGTGAGCCACAAATCAAGTCAGCTTAGTACGCGCTTAGGGCTCAGCTTCACTAGGCAAAATGTGTTTCAGCAAACAGCCCAAATGCTTGGTTAGCTTCAATGAATCGGATTTATTTAACGGCAAAATGTGACTATTTAGTATAAATGAAAGATATGGAAGTTGGAGCCGGATGCTCATATCCAAATAAGCTGTTCTGAGTTGTATGTGATTTTAGACCTACAATCCAAGACTTGCAACATTAGAAGTGAAACCAAAGTGCTGGGCTTCATAGTTATCTACCATGTATACATTAAGAGCAAGATCACTAACTTTCGCTTAGCCAACATCACTTCACCACAGTTTATGAGATGCGTTTGGCAGTTATGAAAACTTATTGCGATATGATAGTTCTAAAGGGTTTGGCTTTACACCAGGCATCACAGTTTGTATAAATTAGTAATGGATGTGAGGAACCCATGTCAGGAAACACGACTGAGGAATTTCGAATGGCTAACATTAATGAAAATTCAAGCTTTACTATTAAAAAAATTACAGTAGGCGAAACTTGGAATTTAGACGAAGGGGAATGCGTTTTATCAAAATAAAATCAGTAACTGCTAGTTATACAGTGAAAGGTACTTAATTTCAATTTGGCAAGAATTTACATCGTCTGTGTGAGCAGAACGTTTATCCAAAACAAACTTGTGCACAATCCCATACCAAACGAGTGGGAGAATCAATGAGCTGTATACTCCCCCATAATTTCCGAGATTTTGGCTTCTGCCTAAAATTTGGAGGCAATTTTTGTCCACTTATGAACAGCTGACGCTCATGGCCACCATAATTTACGTAGTAACATGGTGGATTCCCTTGTGTTTATGTAGCCAGAGCCCAGACTAGTTACACCCGTTGGCGCATTTAAATAAGGGAGAGCAGTGGTTTGTTGTTTGCTCAGACAACGGTTCAAGCAACCCTTAGTCAAATGCTATGCAATTTTGTCAGGCATTATAACGATAGGTTTAATTGGGGTACAGGCAATGACAAGACCAGACTGAGCCAATTTATTAGACGTTGACTGGCAAAGTAAAATTCTTTCTGCTCCCACCTACGCTGTGTGTGCCACAAACCTTAGACTTTATCCTCCACAAAGACCCAGATTATTAAGAGACTTCATTATCAATCCAGCCTTTAAATACTTGTTCACCTGCTTGTGTGTTTAAATTATATGTAAGCATGACTTGAAATGCAATACTTGTATTTCTCTGCTTTGTTACCAACTGCCACAGAGGATCCGTTAAACAATGTGGTGTTTTGACACTTCAATAATCTCGGCAAATTGAGTCATAGGTAATAAGTTGTAAGTAAAATCAAAGTGAGAATATTAACTTACGGAGGTCTTCGCCTCTGCAGTGTGCATGGCAGGAAAATTTGTTCACGAGGAATGTCTAAAAAATGCGAGACTAATGCAAGAAAGTGCTTTTTCGATCCCATTGCAAACGACTTGCCCTCAGATTAAGCCCACGAAGACTTTTATGGTTCATGAAGTAGCTTGTGCGCAGTTACTTGACTACATGAAAGCAGCCATTGCGGGCACACCAGGTCCACCATGATGTCATGAATGGCAAGCAAAGCAGATTCAACATAACCGATTTAATACTGAAGACACTTTTAGGCGAGCTGCCAACGAAATATCGTAAGATTTGCAGAGAAAATGTTACTGCAACAATTGACTGTGGTAATGAAATCTAGTATGGAGATTCCTGAACATTATAATTACAATCCACTCGACACTCAATGGGACGTAGAAATGGCAAAGGCAAATGCAATATCAAAAAACATACTAAAGAACACAAAATTTACAGAAATCGTTTACGGTGGATTAAATGTACAACAAGGAACGAACAGGACCTATTTTCGTCAAATCTACGTTAGTGGACAGATTAAGAAAAAGTTAGAGTAAAAACTCTTTACAAAACCTGCGACTAAATCAAATAAAGCAGTGCACCTCCCCGTAGAAGGACATTAATGGAACTAGAAATTGAAGCAGTCTTTGGGTAAAGTTGCAAGTTCTGTAGGCACTTTGTCGATAGTTGGAATCCACAAGTGTTCTTCTAGGCTGCATAAAACCACATACCCAACAGATTTAAGTGGCTTTACGTAATAACAGGCGAATCCATTTTTCGTTTACCAACATACGCATGTGCCTAAGAATCTAGGCACATACTGTTACAAGACATTCAGCATAATTTTTACTAGGCCTAATGCGACATCCCTCAGCCACAGTGCACCACGGAAACGTCTAGGGTCGAACTGTAGGCGGTTTTAGGCAAAACACATCAACTTTCAAACGATTTCAGTCGTACTCAGCAAATTCTGAATGACCGGGATTAAAAAGGAGGAAAACGTGATTGTACTTTGCAAGATTTGATTCTACTAAGTTATTTTTCTCAGCCCCCGTATCAAACGGCTAATTTCTTCAATGTTTATGATACTGCAAACTTCATTTATGGCTAGAGTTTATAACTTTTTGTTAGATTTTATCATGCATTAAAACGAAAACAACTCCCTGTTTAGTAAAGGAGAACTAGAAAAGTTATTTACTTAACGTATGCCATGATAGCAAGGGTTTAACCAGATTAACCACCACTGTGTCAATTATTCACGAGCACTTAATTGAGTTTTTTATTGCAATATGAGCCGGTTGAAGTAATGCCCTCATGGTATTTGTACCCTTGCTCATTTTTTTGTTGATTTAAATTTTTAGGTTTATAAACGACAAATAAAACTTCTGCCGGCAAATGTTCTGCTATTAAAAAACCAGCTTCAATTTGAAACGAAACTCGGCTTTTGACGCCTTTTATGTGGGTAATTTTAAATATACATATCGCTAATGAGAAATTTATAGACGGTAGTAGTTCCAGTACAGTGAATGCGAAAATCTGTCACGTTTTTATATCATTGCATTACCTTAGATAAAGCACACAAATTGAAAAACGACGAGGTAGCTGTGCATAGAGTATGCAAGTAGCTGACTGTTTAAAACTTGAAAATACTTTGAATAAATTAGCGTTAACACGAATACACCCACACCTGTAAATTATATTGGACAACAATAAAAAATTCTGCTTACTTGGCACGTATCCTTTAAAGGACACGCCTTATGGTGTCAGTATCTACGCAGTGCTAAAGTCATGCGTGACAAGGTGCCATGGAGCACCCATTTGTGGTCCCTCGGTGAAGGCGTGGCTTTCTTATAAGTATAATACACTACGTTTTAATAAACGTATTTCGAACGAGAGGCATATTTAACGACGGTTATTAAATAGTTCTCAGTGACCTCATTGTATTGC